AGACGCAGATTCTAAAGCAGATTCTAAATCAAGAGCAGCTAGCTTGTAGAAAGTTTGGGGACTAATTCTCTCGTCTTCGATCGATGGAGGTGGCTTTTTGCCGTTGTCGGTGTTGTATACCGGAGCTTGGGCATTATGTGACATGATGCCTCACTTTTGCTTGCTAGTATCTGTATATAGATGTGAAATTGATGAGATGTTGGGAATGGTCCGCGAGCTCGTTGCTGTGATATGTGTATCGGGAGATGGTGAAAGATGTAGAGGAAGACAAATGGGGGGAATGAAGAGCTTAAATACGTGACAGTCGTAAGTTGTTTCAGTGTTGTCAGCCAACAACGAGATCCGAGACAAAGAATCACCATAGATGTTGGACCAAAATAGAATTGTGGAAGTAAAAGAATAAAGGAAGCAAAGTGTAAGAGACAAAGAAAAACATCAAAAAGTTAATTAGCGGCAACCACTCGAATGCTCAACCAATTCACCAAGCAAGCATCTCCATCTCACACTGGAGAGTATCTCAGGTTGCACGAATGTTTCAAGTGGACTACTGAGCCTCTCATATTGAAATGTATTGTATTAGACTAAATTATCGGGTATCATTAATGTATTAAAAGTGTTCTTTCCAATTCTACCGACAAACGAGACTTTTTCCGAGTCCATCTATCCTATTCATCCATAGCTCTTTTGTTTCCAAACCCATTGCTCCACTTGCGAAACCCAGCATATCATTCAAAATTATTCCCTTACTGCTCCGTTGTTAATGTGAAATTCTTCAACTCACAAGTTCTTCTTCTATGCAATAGATACGACTGTAACACCGTTTACAGCCAAAATAGCCACCTCACAGCCCCCACCGCACCTCTTCCAATCCCCATAACAACTCTGCACAACACAACCATAAACCAAACATACCACATTACTCCCACCAACGCCCATTCCACCAGAACCCACCCTCCTCTTCTCACCCATCTAAATCTTCTCCTCCTTCTTCGGATCATCTTATCCATGCTAGCCGTCAACTTATTGACTTCCAATATCTGACTTGTGACCAGATCTTTGGAGACCTCATCCGCTTCATCCGCTGCCTTTCTTGCCAGTGGAGTTAAATTATCAACTAGACGGCTATGTAGAGCTCCCATTTCGTCCAGAAGCGTTTGAATAGTATTCATGGAGAAGTTTTCTTGAGATTTTTGCCATAATTGTGCTGAAAGTTGGATGTCATCCCTAATGATGTTTGCTGCTAATATATGCTGTTGTGATCTTTGGACCGGAGAAAGAGACTTATTGGTGAGAGAAATTATACCTTTGTAGCAATTCCCCTGCGCAGTTCGAAAGTCTACTGGTTCCGCGGCTTGACGTGTGAGGTACATTGACTTGACGCCAGATGAGTAAAGACGTGTTTTAACGTATGCAATGTCTCGTTTTGTCAAGGGACCACGATGAATTGATACTCCGCTATCAGAGTGGCTCCAACGACGATTTATATCAAGTGAGGGGCGTCTATTATCATTCGCTGAGATGTGTGACAAGCCAGTTACTGGCATTGTATCGACCCTGCCAGGATATCCGAGTATGGCATTCAACCGAGCGTCCGCGTTACGAACACCTCGAGCGTAACCTTCCTTGCGAGTTGAATTATCAGAGACATCAGAATCGTGTCGGTTTCCTCCTTCCGGAGATGATGCTGGTGAAACGCCGTCTATTTCGATTCTTGGAGGAGGTTCGAGTTTTGAACTAGATGGATTTTCAACATCCGAAGGTTCTGCTTCAATGACTGCTTCTGCTTTACGACTTTTCGTAGACCTTCCGCGATTTTCCAGAGGCGACTTAAATGAAGGCATGTCATTGAGATAAGTTGGAATCGATTTATCATGTGGCACTTCCACATCTACTAGTCTTGAGTCATACCTATCCAAAAGAAGTGTCTTTTCGTTTTCGCGCACCGGCGTGCGGAAATCTTCTATGTCGGATTCATCGGTTGAAGCAGTAGAATTGTTCGAATCCTTTTTCCATAAAAACTCGCTAACTCTAGCAACAGGTCCACGAGAGCCCTTGAACAATCCTCGGATGCCAGATGGTTCGTCACCTTTGCCCCTCCGCAGGCTTGTCTGTTTCTTCAAAGACTTTGCACTTTCATCTGTGTCTCTCGACGTGAGTTTCTTCGTGGGGCTCAAGGACCGATTACGGCCATTGAGAGCTTCAGGAATGTATTCTCTAGGATCAATTCTTGAATCTATGGAACCAATAGAGTCTATCGATACACGAGATCTATCTGGTTCGTATTCACCACTGCGGTCTCTGCTGTGCTCACGGAACGGATTAATCTTAGACCGCACTCGTGATAAGGCCCGTTTTCTGTTTGGCGATGACCGGCGACTACGAGGTGATGAGAGGTCTAGTCCAATACTAGGAACAAAATTAGACAACTTCGAGGCCCGTATTTGTGGGGAGTTGGGAGCAGTAGTATCAAGGCCGTCCAAGGAGTTTCGAGGACTAACGCCCGGGACTTCGAGGCTTGGTCGTCCTGATGGGGTAGATATGAAAGGGTGTCTTTTCTTGATAGGAGAATCTTTATTGATACCCTTCAGGTCCGTCCTTCTTTGATGCAAACTTATACTGGAATCCGATTTCTCCCCACTGTTGAGTATAGGGAGAGTTGGCGTCTCTACAGCTGGAACGGAGGCCTGTTTATCCAGCTTGTTGGGTGTCATCCAATTGGAATCGCCAGATTCCTTCGCAAGCATTTCCAACATCTGTTTTTCAAGAATGTCTTTACCGTGATCATCTTGACTTTCGTTCGTCCCACTACGTCTCCGTTTTGAAAACCTTTTTATATGTTCACTGTCGGAGGAATCGGAACTAGATCTACTCCTAGATCGTAAAAAGCGGGAACGCTCACGGCTTACACTGTGGCTGCCATGTTGCGCATGGGTTGCGTCATGTAGTTTGTGCCGAACTTTGGAGGCTTTACTTTCCAGATGCTTATCTGAATCAACCTTAGAAGATCTGAACTCTGGAAGCTTAGTATCGATACGAAGGTCGACAGCCGAGTTCGATTTCTTGTGATGGGAGCGATCCGGCGATTTAAGCATGTCAAAGTCGTCAGGTTTGCGTGGGATAGATTGCCTAGGCTCAGGATTTCGAGAAAATATTGGTCTCCCATTTCGATCTTCAATCAGCGTCTTGTTGTCACCCTGTTCCATCCAGAAGATGTCTGCAAGCATATCTGCAGGACTAGTAGCCCAGTCAATTCTGGGTCTTGCCAATTTAAGGGCGCTTTGATTTTTACTCCCCGCAGACTGAGGTGATGTATGGGGCGAATGGCCTTCTTCTATAGCTTTTGAGAATGGCGGTAGTGCTACATGATTTCCGTTGACAAAATTGTCATTTAGAGCAGCTTTCGAAACTTCATCAACCCACCATGAAACTTTGTGAACGTTTCCGAATTCTTGTGCTTCTCCATCAATGGAAATCCGAGCTCGAGCACGCACTTTTCTATTCCTGATGTACTGCAAAGGATTATATTGCCTGCCGAATATGCGATGAGGTTGTTCAGACGTCGAGCCTGGACTGCTGTGCTGATTCTTCTCCACAGATCCGGCCTTCAATGGAGGGACATATTGTAATAATCGACGGTATTGGGCCATGAGCTCAATTGCCTTTTTAGCCTTTTCTGCTCTCGCCAATGTAGATGAAGAGAATTGGTATTGGTAGGCAGTTTCGGATGCATCTAAAGTTATTGGCAGAGGGCCAATTTTTATCCCCGATGAAAGGCGTGGAGAATTCGTGAGTGCCCTATCAATTCTGTCAGGCTTCGGTGAGATGTTTCTGGACACTCTCCTTTGTTGCTGTAAATGGTGACGTAGACTACCTCCTGCCATCTCATCTCTAAATCCTACAGCATTCGAGGGCAATGGTGTAGAAGCATTACGTCTCGATGCGATTCTTCTACTTTCACTAAGATTCAGGGCCAGATTGACGATCTGGGCAGAATCAACATCAAGCCCGCTTGTAACAGGCTTTTCGGACGCATTTGTACCTCGCCCTTGATCACTGTGCGGCGTCGTATTTTCATCAACTACATCTTCCTCTTCTATGTCCTGGGCCGTGGGAGCGCTCGCCACATTGGAGGCTAGGGGGCTTCCTACTATAGTACCATTACGTGATTGTCTCTTGCTCTGTTTTTTGTCCGCTGATTTACCTTTCACATCGTGAAGCAACCCCCGATTGCGAGGTTGTTGTTCTGCCGTGGCCGTAGATGAGGTATCTGCATTGCGATGGAATAGAGAATTTGATAATAAAAATCCTCCACTACTTCGACTCTTGTTGTGGGCCCTATGGTTGCTTCTCCCATCCTTTTTACTTCTGTCCTCTATGCCTCCATCCAATCCACCCTGTTGTTCACTACCTTCTTCGTTCAAGGTACTTGTCGCAAAGCTATTTCGATTACTGACCGCCGTGCTAGATTCGCCCGTCTCGCTGCTGTCATTACTATATCGTTGGGTTGAACTCGAATACGTGCTTGAAGTCGTTCGGCGTTCGATCGGTGAAGTGCTAGAACTATTTCTTGTCGTGGCGTCGAGAGGAGGATGAGATGTCATGTTTTTCTCCCGGCCTAGCTATCCGAATATGCAGTAGCATCCAAGTTATGAGAATAATTGCTCTCGCATGTTGGAAAACAGAAAGTAGAGGAGGTCGCCCGATAGCTGTGTTATTTGAAAGTTGTACTTTCTGTTTTACAATCAGCAGATTAAGCTTTCACATGCCGGGAGAGATGATGATCCACAGCCATAGTGTGTACATTCGGTAGTTCTGACGCGAATTTGCTTTTACTGTTTCTGAAACCCGACCTTGCCAAAAAAAGTCATAAAGAGACCCTGTATTTAAGTCCTTTCAGGCCTTGGGTATCTATCACATGATCGGTCATCAAAAAGCATATAAAATAAATAAGTTTCACAAAGTCACAAAGCAAGTCACAAAAAATCACAAGAAGCCACACAGATTTGTGTTTAACATTCATGATAATAAAAGAAAGATTGGCTAGTCTAATATTCACAGGTATAACCACAGTAATAAACCCCCAAATGCAGGTTGAAACTCCTTGTCCAAGCCACGAACGCCATACTTTTCTCAGCTACAGTGACCACCATTATTCTCTTACTCTCTTGGAGCTGCTTTTCCAGACTTCTCAATCTTTCTCCTCTTGGCTCTCAATGCCTCTGCCTCTGCGTCTTTCTTTTTATTACTGTAAACCATCTTCTCTAGAATCTTCCTCTTCTTTCTGCTCATCATCATCTTAGATCTCTCCAACTCCTCGTCTTCTTCTTTCGCCTTCTTGGCGGCCTTCTTCTTGGCATCCGTCTTAGCTTTAACTCTTGGGTCAACTTCCTTTTCTTGTAAGGCCACACCAGATAACTCAGCCTCAAGTTCTCGTTGACGTCGAAGAGCAGTGGTCTCTTCTTCATCTTCGCTGTCTTCGGCTTCAGAGAATCCACCAAAAGACTCATCGACCTTATCAGGAGCCTCGTCTGATTCATCATCAGATCCAGCAACATCCATACCCTCAGCAGTCTCATCGACATCCATAGCTGTAACCAGATCCTGTTTCTTAACAGCTGCCTCCTCATCGGAGACATCTGCCTCATCTTCGCTACCGCTATCCATTTCGAGTTCCTCGTCTTCCCTTTCTTGGTCTTCAAGTGGGGCAGATGGATCATACTGACCACGTACTTTCTTGACAAAGGGACTCAAATGTGGAGGCAATTGTGCACCGGGTGCATATAGATCCGGTCGTTTGAGCTCCTCATCGTTGATACAATCCCAAATCCATTGTGGTTGAATATAAATGCGACCAGGGACTCGAGCTCCGGGCCTCAAGCGCTGTGCTGTTTGGTTGTCTTCCTTGACTTCCTCATCTTCCTCAGGTTGGACTTGTACGGGTGGGCGATCAACCACTTGGTGAGTAATCGATGGGTCTGATTCATTATGAGTGAAAGCACCCTCTCCAAGGACTGCGTCCCAACCAATACGCTTGCAGCCAAATGCCCGAAGAATGAACTCGAGAGGCTGGCGTGGAGTTTCTCTTGATAAAAAGAAAGTAAACTTTGAGAACAAAGTCGATGGATCTGTGGCAGAATAAGAAGGTTGCATAAGAATATCACCACCTGGTGCAGCTGGCTCGAATTTATCAATAGTCTCAGTTGCTTGCTCTTCATCTTCGCCATCGGGTGAAGTTTTGGTTGTCTCCTCGGCCTCCTTCTCTGGTGCATTGAGTTGAAGCATCAGTTTGTCAATCTCTGCTTGGAGTTTAGGATCGGGCTTTGCATCGCCATTGGTGATCTGCTTTGGTTGCTCAATAGCACCAATACCATTTCCTTCCAATGAGAATGCTCCTAGACCTGCATCTTGATCATCTCTAGCCGCATCGAATTTTGGTGGGTACACCAATCCAACAGAAGTGTAGAGGCGGAAATTGACGAATCCTAGCAAAGTCTGGTAGAACTCGACGAAGGTGCCCATGATTCGGAAGTCCACATCACCAGTGACTCTCTGGTTGAATCTATAAGGCACTAACCACAGAATATCCTGTCCTTGTATAGTTGCCTGGTAGTAAATTCCCTTGATAGACAAGAATGACTTGCGCAAGCTATTTGAGACGATTAAATAATGTTCGAATTCCAAGCATAACTTCTCGCATCTCGCAATCATCTTTGCAGGAACAGTCGAGGTCGAGGGCAAATTTGCAAATAAGAAAAGCATTGACAAACAATCGTCGAGATCTCGTAGCGCATCGATGAATGTAGGATATCTTTCTCGGATGATGTGATCCAAATTGTATTTAGTCTTTCCAGTCTTCTCCGGTCTTGACGCATTGCGTTCAAGTCTCGCAGCGTCGCTTGCATCTCCTCGTCCTAAAGCTTTCGAGATTTTCTTCTCTAAGGCTTTCTGCTCACGGAAAGCATCGACAATCTTCTCGTGCAATAGCCATTGGATATCTTTTGTGTAGTAAAAGGTGGTAGAATGTGTCGAGGATTTCGATGCCTTCTTCTTATTTCTTGGTTCTCGAGGATAGATTCCTTTCCAGATACACAACTTACGAAAGTCAGGTAGACTATTCAAATCAAAGAATTAGTACTATTGTTCAACATATAAGTAGAAGTGAAGCAGAAGCAACAATGCGACTGAAGGAATTGGGGGAGGGACTTTTTCAATACTACAATGTATATGAATATGTACTTACGAAATTTGTAATTTTCTGACTGCCTGAGTTCTGGTAATGAAGTTCTTGGCTTGACCAGAAGTTCCCTTCTTCTTAATTCTTCCCATTGTTGCTGTTGCGATTGAGATCGAGATGAGAATGGAGATAGTATCGTGGGGGGGGTTTCTCAGTCGTGCTGATAAAAAAGTTCCCAGAGAACTTTTTTTTTATTTCTCCAAAGCTTCTCAATCCGCTGATTAACAGAGGAACTCTTTGCTTATTGGATAGACCATCTCACCGCCTTACACGGACCACCTGACCCTAGAACAACAGAACATCAAAACAAATCTATTGGTTGAGAATGAATTGAAGTACATAAGATGGTTACTGCATTGAGTGAGTGAGGGAATGGGTTAATAAGATGAGAAAGGGAGTTGATTTGATGATTGAGCTTCATTCTTTTGCTCAACAACTTGACATTAGCTCATGACCATCATGAGTATCGATAGGAGGAAGGCAGCTCTTTTCGGTGCAGCAGCAGCTGTTCGACTGTTACTATTTGCATCTTTCCCGGGCCTCCCAGATTTGTTGACAGCGAGAGTCGAGATCTCTACACCAGTTACAAGCTTCAAGAGATGTATATGTTCCCATACGCAGAGACAAGCATTGAATCGGCGACTAACTTCATGCAGTACAAGAGGGTCTCTTTCTTTACAATCACAATGTCTCCCCATACGATGGTGGTGTCTATCATCAGGCACCGTTATTCCTCCCTCTCTTCTCTCTCCTCCCAAGCTCTTCGATGTATCCCGCATTCACATACCTACTATACACATTGGTCGACCTTGCCAGCGCAAATGCTTTAATCAATATAGCAGAGTCTGGGGAGGCAGGAAATTCGAGGCTCTTCACATCTCCTAGAAAGGATAAACGGTGGACCAGCTTCGCCATTGCTGCTGCCTTTCTTTTCAACCCATTCACCATTGCAACATGCATTGGCCGTCCAACAAGCATATTCACAACTTATGCTATATTATATGCCATTTCAAAAGCACTAATTGGCGCATTTTATACCTCGATGTTCGCCATAGCATTCGCAGCGTACCTGTCTATGTATCCCATACTTCTTTTCCCTCCTCTGGCCCTGCTATGCTATGATCGTCAACGTCCTAGTAAGCGTCAGAAGTCTTTACCATTGTTCATTGGCATCAATGCCATGGCTGTCTGTGGTTACTTATATTCCCTTTTACACATGTCGTACATAATCACGGGGTCTTGGGAATTTCTATCATCAACTTATGGTGTCCAACTTCTTCTTCCAGACCTCACGCCCAATGTTGGACTGTGGTGGTATTTCTTCATTGAAATGTTTGACTCTTTTAGGTCATTCTTCCTCGGTGTATTCTGGCTCCACCTCTCATCATATGTCGGGGGCCTTACCATTCGCGTACGACGTCAGCCTCTTTTTGTGCTCACAATACTCCTCGGAATCTTTGCGATTTTTAAACCATATCCATCAATATCAGATACCTCTCTGTTCTTAGGGATGCTGCCAGTCTATAGTCACCTTTTCCCATTAATGCGATATTCTTTCCTAGCCTCTTCTACGGTTCTATATGCAACATTATTGGGACCTGCCTTTTACTATCTTTGGATTTATGCCGGAAGTGGAAATGCCAATTTTTTCTACGCAATTACACTCGTATGGAGCCTTGGCTGGAGTGTCCTGGTGGTTGCAGATTTACTCTATGCAGTCCTCAGGGATGAATGGGAAGTTGAACGACCGGAAATGGAGGGTAAAGAGGTCAGGCAAATATAAGTATGATATAAAGCAATCAGATCAGATCGCATTCATCATCGATATTTCTTTGGTACAATGCGACGTGTCGTGAATCCTATGAAGTTATGTACAACGAGGCTTCGGTTCTACTACGCCATTACAAACTTCCAAAATATATCCATGACGATGAAGGCTAAGAAATTCAAAGCCTGCCGAAGATCTCGTACCAGAACCTATGATACACGGGCTCTATTCTATGCCTTAAATGACGATGTATGTGCAAAAGCATCTCTCCATATAATCAATCCAATGCAATCTTTATCCTTACATTAGGCTACGGGCGACATTCCCAATTTTCCGTTTTGAATCCCAGTCACATCTTTTCCCACCCTTTCTCCTCCCTGCGCTCTTTCTTCTCCTGGTCATTTCGCTTCTTTTCCTGGGCCTTCCGACGTTTTTCTTTTGCCTTTATTTCTATCTCATTTTCCTTTGCTTTCCTTCGCGCATTGCTATTTTTTCTCCGCTCCTCTTCATAGTGCACATCCAGCTGGGCCCTCATCCTCGCATCTTCGGCCTTTGCTCTTGTGGCACCATTTGCTATGCTCTTGCGTCTTAGTCTCTCTCGCGCTCTTCTCTCCTCCCTTTTCGATTTACTTTCCAATTTCATTCGTGATTTGATCTCAATCCCAAAGGTGCGTATGGCATTGTAGATACGTTGCTTTATTGACACCTCTGGCGCATTGGCATTGGCATTTATGTCGGAGTTGGAGAGTGTCAGTGAAGCAGGAGAAACGCTGTCAATGCCGGATTTGGAGGATGCCGGTGAATCAGGAGTAACACTATCAATGCCGCAGTCGAAGGGTACCAGTGAATCAGGAGCAATGCTGTCAATTCCGGAGTCGAAGCGCGCGGGAGACGCAAGAGTCCGACGTACCGAACGGTTTTTACTTTCAGTATTGAAAGGATCCGGATTTGTCCATTTAAACGAGGATTCGGGAGACTAAAGAGAGGTCAGTGACATGACAATGCTCGAAGGCAACTGCGGCGATACCTTGGTTGATCGGGCCGGATATTCTTTGGGAACTGTTGAGAGTTCGGTTCGTTGAGTTCGGGTCTGAGAGGAGTTCGCTGCGATGAGACGTCGATTTTGATTCGAGAGAGATTGAGGATTTGAATTTGTAGAGCGTTGAGGGTTTCTTTTCTGAGGAAGTCGAGGAATCCGATTGGGGGTATTCATGATCACGGTAAGAATCTTAACATCTGTCAGCGCCGAGTATATTTCGAATGATCAGTGGAGGTCTACAAATTGTGGTAGAAGTTTTATGATGCAGATGAAAAGTCTATGATGTAGCATGATATACTGAGGATATAGGTCTAGACTCCACTATACCCAGTACGGTGCTTGAGAATGAACCTATGGTGTTACTAAAGCTTAGTGGGCGATCTTTTCAAAAAAAAAAAAACTAAGAGTAAAAACCGTTCTGCTGGTGTCCATGGCTAGACGTGATCGGTGACAGATTCTACAAACTAACTTTGAAAGTACATAAATTGCTGTAGCTCTTGATTACAACGAATGTGACTGGACAAACTATACTGAATCAAGATTGAGAGATTCAAAGTTTGTACCTCTCTTACGTGCACATCAGTTGCAAATGTGTACACATATTGTAGTACTAAATCAGTCAAAAGTAGCGGTATTGAATATCGGAATGACGATATGATAATTTGGAGCCAACAAATCATTTTGACACCTCTGAAACTTTATGATTATTAATGTTCTTTGAGGGAGAGTTGGAAATTTAATGTATTTCTGACCTGTCGATTGCGGTTATGGAAAGTGTTGTGAAATCAAATACGGTAAGCGGTAAGCACATTTTTTTGCCTAACGCCGAATTAACATTTTTCTGTCCATTTTCCAAAGCATTCACAAGATCTTCGGGTAACAATGTTGATTGCATGACTTTTCACAATGTCGTCGCCAACAAACTCAACATTCACGAATTCTTCTCCGCCCCGCGAAAACCGCTGGAATGGACCAGCTTCAACATGGCAACAAATCACAGAAGAAGAACGTGGTTTGGCGGCCTCGCTGGATGAACTTCGGAACAGAGATTTGAGCCTTCATTTATATAATGCTTTCGCTTTGAAAAAGCGAGCCAAAGAATTCAATGCTGATGGAACTGTTCATGGTAAAGATGAGGATCAAGATAACTCAAATGAATTTGTACCTCCTAAAAAATGGACTGCATGGCCAATTGAAGCGACGGAGGTCCCAAGGGAAGGCGAGCAGATAGGTCCGGATGATAATGACGAAGTGTTTACTCTGAGAAGAAAGGAGACTACAAAATTGAGTAGGGATTTGGAAGATGAATTGATCGGGGTCACATTAAAGTATTCAAGAGAGAGATTCCTGCAAAGGGAAATCGCCGAGGACCATGAAAGACAAGTCGAAAATAGTGTTACCGAGGAAATGAATATTGATGAACCACAACAAGAGCAGTCGGAAGATCCTGAGATTGGAGAAGATAGTATTAGAAAATCATCGGAGCCACCTCTCACCACAACTATTCTCCGACCCGAGATATCAGCTGACGACGAGCGTTCCCAAGAATTGTTGCGCCCATCAATCAGGCATACCCTTTCGAAATTAGATGATGTCTTGATGGCTTTGCACCATGCGCGCAAAACCTGTCGACAGTATGCCGCTCAAACTGAGTTCAATACGGACGTGGAGTCTCGTTCACGTGCAACTAGCATAGCAGGTGATGCTACAGATAGAGATTCGCCTGTTAAAAGGCCAGTGGGTCGGCCACGCAAACTTCAGTCCATTGATCCTGCAGCCGTCCCTGTGTTTACACCAAATGAGAATGGTCTTGACGACCCCGAACTTTGGAGAGTGAAGAGAACTCGCCGAGGACGGCCGAAGAAGGTTTACGCGAGGTTAGAGGGCGAAACCCAGCATGAATATCTCACTCGGATTGCCAGAATTCAGAAGAAACCACTGCCAATTTTTGCCCCACCAATCGAGCCAAGTACACCTAAACGGGAACGAACACCTGCCTCGGTGTCTCCTCAAAAATCACCTAGAAAGCTTTCAGATAAGACACGCAGGCAGATGCTAGGTCTCAGGGATTGGAGCGAGGTACTAGGATCTGCTGCATTAGTTGGATTCTCGCCGAATGTCATTGCTAGGGCTACGCAAAGATGTGCGGATCTTTTTGGGGAGAATATGATAATGAGGACTATGGTTGAGGGACCTGCAGTAGGAGGAAAGGACGATAAAGTAACAGAATATTACCCGGGAATGATTCCTGATTTTGATGAATCTGAAGAATCTGGAGTGTCTTTCGATGAAGACGAAGACGAAGACGAATCGTCAGATTCAGCTTCCGATACGGAAAACGCGGATAGTAAAGACCATCCTCCCATAAAGCGAAATGCTTCTCGTATTGACAGTGATGAAGAGATGGATGGAGCGGTACATACCGATAGGTTTCTCAAGCCGCTCACCGGGAAGAGAGGATGGCGAGGTATCGATAAGGAGAAGAGAAAACGAAGCAAATCTGGGGTGGATACAGGAGATCGGGAACAAGTATCTGATGACGAGGAGGATGAAGCGTCGGGTTCATACTCTGAATCGGACTTAGAAGTGCAGGAAGAGGTTGAGGGCGGAGGTTCTGATAGTGAGCATTGAGATGGTTTTATTGTGTGTTCATGAGGACTTCTTTCATCAAAATTTCACACAGGGTGAAGAGGGTGATGGCAGATTTCCACGTGTTTCATATCGAAGTTTTCAAAGAATTGTCGTAAATTCTCGACACATGAATACCGCACTTATTTGTCTCCCTGATTGTGCAGAGTGGGACTCGACAATATTGACCTGAAATCGGCAGTGTTATCCGAGGTCCCCCTCCAAAAGAACACTTCGTTTTACATTGCAACAGATTTTAGGGTCTGGAATTTTCGGCATCGACATTGAATTATTTCGCAAATCATAAGGCTTTTTTAAAAGACGTCATCAGACATGTATTACTGCGCTCTTATGAACAGACATACAATATTTTAGAGCTCAATAAACATAATATTTCAAGCCCGTTCTCTCCAAAGTATATTATAGAATAGAATAGAAGAGCCAATAACAATATCCCAAATTCCCGCTAAGTAACACAGCAAACGTAAAGCAAACACAAAGGTATCTTCGCAAAATAAACAAATCATTCACTCGTCTGAGTGATAACGGTCGTCTTATATCCACTCGCCCAATCAATCCTTTCCCCACTTCTACTTCCTGTCTCACTACTTTCTCCGATCGAGCGGCTGCTCTCTCCTGTTTGGTACCCTGCACTCAGAACACTGACTTCTATCGAGTCATCCGACTCTTCTGCTTTCCATGCCGCCTGCAGTCGTTCTCTTTCTAAATCATCCTTCCGCACGATTTTCTTATCCGCATATACGTATGTTCGAACGCCGTAAGTGTCGTCTAGACCCAGCATTGCAGCAAATCGTTTCGAATATTCGTCATCAGAATCGACAAGGGTTTCCTGGGAGGTTTTGCCAGCGGTGGCCGACTTATCAGAGTAGATACTAAAGGTTCTTTTTTGACGGGCACTGAAGAGAGGTCGAAGCGTAGCAAAGGATGCGGCAGTTAAGGCGATGGCAGGTTCAATGATGGACCATTTAACTAGATTGATTCCTTCCCAAGTGTAGTCGGTGGTTTGGTTGAGTTTATTAATGTAGTATATGCGGACTATTGTTGCTGTGCTTGCACTATAGGTATGTTAGCAAATCATTGTATTTGAAACGTACGTTGGCAAAACTTACAAGAAACCAAGAGATAGAATGAGAACAACTGATAGCTTTGTGCGCGGATTCATCTTCATCTTCCAGACAAATGTAATTGGTAGGATACCATAAGCCCAGTCCGTTAGAGCACTCATGGCGGCATGTGCATAGGTAACGTTAGCTCGAGTTGATGTGCTCAAGCAAAATCCGCTGCCGTTGTCGAACATATTCCAGAAATAAGATATTGGTTGACATTGCAACAGTACGAAGATAAAGTACGCCATGCTGACCAGAACTGCAATAGCCATAACACTGTAGATAATCCAAAATTGATATCGTTTGTTGGCGAGTCGTAAAAAATAGACCCCGATGGAAACTTTCGTAATAGCCATGGTGATGACATAGAGAAGTTCACTCGCAAATATGTACTGGAAAGAGTGAGCTGAATATCCAATTGTGTTCTTCGAATATACACACCTTAGCAAGCTCATCGAGATAATCTGAATTGATATTGTATATATGAGCACCGAGTCCAAATGCAAGTGACCGCAATAAAAGTCCACTCAAAGCAGTATGTATAGTCTAAGATCCATAATGTTAACATTGATCCTCATACATCATAGTGACATACATACTATGGAAGCAACAGTCAACCAATCCTCAGGTCCAAAGAATTTTTGAATCCCAATCCTGACATAAAATCGAAGAATACCGGCAATCCACGGTAAGGCTAGAGCGGCACAGGCAACGCCCGTCACCTGGGCTCCTCGATTAACACCGAGAACATGATCATCACGAGAGATGAGGTCCATCATTGCGATTGAGACCATGGTATATCGAGGAAGTGTTGCTCATGAGGAGAGAAGGAAAAAGCAATCATTGATCATCAACAGAAATTGAGGATGACGTTGAGCAATTGGCTTTTCAGATACTAAAATCTGCAAGCCACTGGTATATATGAAGATGGAAACAGAGAGATTTCAGGCAGGTGGACATGGATTATGACGCTTCTTAATAGTTCCCTGTATCGACAATTTCGCGGCAAGAGCGAGTCTAACGCCTGCGAAAGAGGTCTAAAATAGGTCTCTCTTCAAGCCACGCGAGAACCTCGTGAATCGTATCTACGATGCATCTGCGAGATACGATTTTTGGAGCTACTTGGTGGATAGTTCTTCGCGCTAAATTTTTCGAATGGGGTGCCCGGTTGTGACAAATTTCAATTTTGCGGAGGATCTGCTTTCGGTTAATGGGAGAGGGTCAAAACTCGACTGTTGGTATGTCAACTCCAAAAGGACTGGAATTCACGAATGCTGTATGAATGCAACTATTGTTTGCTTTCCAATAACGAGTTACGAGTAGACTGGCTGACCGACTGTAAGCTACAAGTGCGTCTCGTTCTAATATATAATATTTTGTGAAATATACGAGTATTTCACGAGGCTTTTTTAAAATTGCTCTCCAGCAAGCTCGTAAATGATTCGTTGTCGGTAATCGGCTAAACTGCCAATTTTAGTTCAGAACTAATCACACCCTATGCATACATTTTTTCGATGTGCCTAGAGATATGTCTACTCCGTATGACCTTGTCGTTCGTCTCTAACTCGTGGCTACGAGGCTACCAATAAAATTTGAATTCTCGGAGATATAGATAAGTTAGCTAGATCGGAACTGCGATAGGACTATTGGCTAGCACCATTTAGTTCGTCCGAACACCCTGATCCCCACCAGGCTAACACCCTGCGATCCAGAAGGGTTCGGATTCCTGAATAACAAAGCTGGATTTCAATAGCGGTCGGCTTACACAATAGGGAAACATAACCGATCTTTTCGTCCAAGGTATCTTTTGGTCGAAAGCTAGGCTTTGTATTGGACAATGCGGATTTCTACGGAAGTGAACAATGTTAACATCCACATATGATATTACAGGAAGATCAAGACAATGCATAACATGCTAGGAGACTTTGACCCGAATACTTCAGTTCATGTTCATCAATTTTACACGTGCAAGTCAGTGGATAGACAATCAGCGCACAGCATCAATGTGATGAGACATCGCAGTCCCTATTATCTCGTTTAAATCGTTCAATCTTTTCCCATCGCTCGGACCGAACTGGTGATCAGAGCTTGCTGTCAGTGCAGCGGTGACTTTACATGTCAATGCCATCAGGTATACCATAACGATTAGATAAATCTCAATATAGAAGTGTAGTCTGATTCTCTATGGCTGGGATTTTGGTAAAAGGTTGGTCTGAGGCATGGGTACTATGTCATGGGCTCTACATGAAATTTTGGTTGATTGACAAATATTTTTACGCCTCGTCTTTGGAGGGGGTTGGAGCGGTATCTCACGAGGTGTGGGAAACAATGTTGACTATTCTTTTGATGTTGGCTGCTCGCAACGAAAAGAAGCGTTGAGACAATTACTCAAAACATTCTACACGACCAGGATCATATGTAAATAGACACCATTTTTTTCTTAATGAATGGCTTTAGGAAACATGGAAGGAATCGCTAAAGAGAACAGCGAAAAAGGCTCCTGAAGATCTAAGTGAATATAGAGTTCAAACTGGTTATTAGATACTAAACGAATCATAAGCAAGCTTCTCTTACAATTAACCACTTTCAAGCTCTGAACTGTATCACTTCTATTCCCTTTGCCAAAAGATGCCGTATTCAACTATCAAAACTCACGGCTACATCTAATGGCACATAAAACATCCCCGTGATATACTAAGTATCCAAACACATTACAACCCTCTCGTTAAAACGTCAAGAACCAAATAACTGACTACCCGTACCTACCTAAAACCCCCATGATGCGGCGGAGGATAGCTATAAACGCTCGGCGGTCTCCCCGTATCACTACTAACGTCACTATCATAATGAGCCGGGCGATAATGATGTCCACGTCCATGCCTCCGATGTCTCCCATGATGTCCGCTCCGCTTATCATAGATTCTTCTTACAGATGGCGCATACATAGAGCTTGTACCTGAGTATGAATCTGAATCGGAGTGATAAGAAGCCACACTTTCATAACCATCTCGCACATATTCGCGATGACGATGATGAACCCTTGGCTTTTTCTCAGGAGGTGGATCGTTATCTGCTTCATTTCTCTCTCGATAGTTACCTACGAAATCGCTATCTGTGACAATACTTTCTTCGTCTTCTTTTCTTTCTGGTGCGTAAGGATTTTCCGGGTTTTTGTCTTTGATGCGATGCTTCTTCTCGTCTCGTTCGGTTTTATATCGATTTCGGTTTAGTAGTCTTTCCAGTTTCTTGTCTGATTCCTCGGCTGCCTTTTTCGCAGCTTCTTCGGCAGCTTTTGCTTTTCTAGATGCGTCGTTGTGGAGTGTCATGGGTTCAGGTTGAATGATATTTTCATCGTGGTCAAACGGACCTTTTTGCCCATTCTTATCATCTTCCGGTGTGTAAATATTCAATATGTTTGCCGCTTTTTTGACAAAATTTCTACTTTTACGTGCGGCCTTCACCACCTTAGAAGACTGTTCGGGTCCCATTTTTCGGTATGGGAAGTCCGCTGCATCGGGAAATGTTTTGCGGAGGAACAAATATTCTTCGAGCAATGCGGAACTTTTCGGCCATTCGATTATAGGATCGGGTTTACCGTCGCGACCCATGTTTTTACAGCATTTGGAGATAATTTGACTTATCCAGTACAGATGCTTCTCTTTACATTTCCTGGGCCTTTTTCTTTCTACTTCGGCAACGATCTCTTTGAAGCGACGGTAGTGGTCACCTTTACGGATACGACCCTGTGAGGTTCGGAAGTTAGTAATCTTCTACCAACAGTAGCATAGTGGAGGAGGAAATAGAATCCAATGCGACAATTTGAAGTGTAAAGCCGCCCTGAAGGCTGCATCCAAGTGAGCTTAAGGTTTGGAAGAAGTTAGATGTAGTGGAGGGTGAGAAACTTACGATCTGCACAGCGCGGCCTGGCAGGTTTCGATGATGACGTCGAATAATCTCTGGCGGCTCAGTTGAGCGGGAGAAATACTGAAAATGATTACATTTATGCATGACTGCTTTTTTTATCCCCTTTTTAGGTGTGATGTCTAAGGTGAGAGCCTGAAATATGACGTTAGAGAGAATTTCGCATGCATTTCCCCACAAAATGTAATGTGTTCGACGCATTATTAAAAAGATCTTACTACAACAAGGGAATCGATATCAATTAAGCCTTGACGAGAGGAGATCCGTATTTCTCAAGTGTAATCAAAGAAAGTTACGAGTCTGTAGGACCACGAGAAGTAGAACTGTAAGAATGTGTGCTAGATGGCCAAGAAAAAATGTGTTTTGGTAGGCACCTGGTGGCAAGGATCTTATTATCTTTGGCCGAAAACCAATATGTCGCGTACAACAACATGTAGGTCGAGTTTTTCTTGTTTTTTTTTCAATCTTAGAGTCATTCTCGCCCAAAGATTATTATTGTTAGGAGAAAAAGAAACCAATAAAGGGCGATACTATGCCATATAGGCTGTTGAATCGACCTCGTTACCAGATGGCGTAGAAAACTTTTCCTGGTCCGACCTGATGAATGACCGCCCAGTACAGATTCACGGGGAAAGCTCTTGACATGAAATCTAAGGGAAAACCAACATAGTCTCAAAATTCTACAATCAGATTGGACAAGAAACGATGACCTCAAAATTGACCGAAACAGTTGGCCAGGACCTTGAGTTGTGGACAAAAAATAAGTTTTAGGTGCTTGAACTCTGGGTTACAATCGGCAATAAGCAACTAACTACGAGTATTGGCTCCTTATAGTTTGGTATCGAGATATGGGAAGACTTGGAAGAACCTCGATTATGGCGAGATGCTTCAAGAAGTTCAACAATCTTCAAACATGATCTTCCCGGCAGAAGAAAGGTGACAATGTTGTACAACCCGAAACTCCTAGGATTCAAGACATATCATTCGATTCTTATGAAGCGAAATGTGGAGGCAAATTCAAGCAGATAAATTGTTCAGCAAACTTTTAGGGTCATAGTGAATGCAAAAGATTCATAAGAGAATGTATTATAATGATGAAAATCCAGTAAACGAGCGAATGTTCTACAAATCACATCGCAACAGCAAGCCTGTTGCTGCAACTGAGCTCCAAGACACCTCCAACGCCTCCAAATATCCCATGTTATTTTCCTCTGCCTATGACCCGCAGGACCCAAACTCCCTTTTCCAAATGACAAATCAAGCCAAACTTCCCAATCTTCTAGTCACATTGCCATTCCAGGAGCCTGTAATCGACTCGCGCTTATCCAGTCAAAGCTACGGTTATCGTATATTGGCGAGCAGCATTGGTCTACTCTCCTCGAGGCATTCTGTAATTGTGTAGACATCGAAAGAGGGTTAGGTCTTTGCAAGACTCCCCTAGCAAAAAGTAGTTCTACCACACTATTGGTCCATTCTTGATAATGGCGAAGAGAATTTGCGGGATCAATTTTCGGTGGTCCTGCAGTGATGGAATCGCAGATGGCGCGAACTTGCGAGTATTGAGATACCGATACCGTGCCGATGAATCTGCTGGCATTGTTCGGACGTTTGATCTCTTTGTGGGAATGGATCATGCCGTTTTGCATGTCGCCGATTACTTGATAGAGATGACCGCTGTCGCTTCCTTGTTCATCAGTCTGAACGAAGATACCTCGTGAGATACCAAGGAAGTCGACCATGTAGACATTGAAAGACATTTTCAATTTAAGTTGAGAGTACAATTGTGAAATATAATACGGTTTCGAACTCTGAGGCTAATGACGACAATGAGATGAGTGCTGGTATAGATGAGAATGAAATTGAATGCAGCTAAGGGAAAGTGAGAGTCTCTCATATATAACTGCACATCAGATTGAACTGCTTCTTTGCAGGTAGCATTGTGGTTAGTACTCCCAATCCTAGCAAAGGCAGTCAAGTCTATCTAAAGGTCCCAATCCTGGCGCGAATTCTCTAGGGGTGGTAAAGACGGTCGAAATGCCAAGGAGGTGCTATCCCCAAGTCACTTACCTAAAAAACGGCATGGTATTCGACGATCGAATAGATAATCTCTAAAAATAGGCGCCGACATCTTGTAAGCAATAAGGTCGCCCCATAAATCACATGATTTAAAGCCAATCGAGGTGCTTTGAATGAGGAGGTCGCAAAATTACTTCAGCGAGTCGAAGATTAAGGTAGGATTCTATTATCAGCAGCTAATTCGAATACCTCAACAGATTGACCAACTAGTCGTCTGTGTACTGGTAAACACGATGCATGAGCTCGTTTGCTGAGCAGTAGGTAGTCACATATTTTGGTACTTGAAAATGAACTACTCTTTCAAGATTCTATAAACTATTATATTTGTGCGCAGCGTAGCTGTGAATCTGCAAGTATTGTAGAGCATTGAATGTTGGAAAAAGAGAATTCAAAGGGAAAAAGCTTGTAGATCTTTCGACTACAGGATTTACTATCCTAGGATTTCATCAAGTAAAGAGAGTACTATTCAAGGCCTAGAGCGGTTGCAAAAGGATGCATGATTCGTGAAATGTGCAGGCTGTAACGATGCACGCATAGCTTTTCTTAGTCCAGCAGATGCTAAGAAGTTATATGCCGGCCCTCTCTTTCACAAATTAATGGCGAAGGATGAGACAATACGTTTCGGCTTGCTTCGCAGATGGGTGCCCGTGGTCAATACAAGGCAATAACTCCGTTGTAAATTGTATGAAGTGAGAAGTATTATCAAGGTGATGATCGACACAAGGTAAAGGCATCCTTCCTGCACGCTTTGATAAGTGAAGAAGTGACTCGAGACTTGATAGGCTAAATAAATGGCTTGGATTATGAGAAAGGCCACAAAGTGTTTCAGAAGAACGTGGAATAAGGTTTATGATGGAAACGAGCCTCAAAATCCAGATTTGAATCGACTGCTCGAAATAGAACCCGAGACAAGAATGCAGCCTTGTCCCGATAAGAGACCTATATCAGATCGAACTCATCAAACTGATTGCAGACGCTGAAAGTGGGAGGCTTTCATGTGGCGATGGTGTTGGTGATTTGTAAAGAGCGACAGATCATAACCTAGAAACTATACAGGCCAATTCGACCATACTTGATGATCAGATTGCGGTTGCATTGTAACAGGTGTTAGAAGGATGAAATAAAGTCTTGTGAATTCATCCAGTATACAATTGCAGTAGTTGACGTTTGACTTTCATCAAGTCGAAAAGCCTGAGTGAGCGTTCTTCACACTGAAAAGGTGGATATTTTTAACGCCAGGATGCCGTCATCTTGCTCCAAGTGCAGTGTTTAAGACTCGAGCGATTTCCCTCTGAATAGATTTCGGTTTTATCTGTAGGAATGGCCCTCGAGGTCGAGGATAATCGAAGATTCAATTGTGGCAGTCGGCCTTGTTTTGCAGAAGAGCTCTGGCAATGGAAAGTCTCGAGAGGAAATGATGAAGGGTCTTTCCAGGTCACGTGTGACTATTAAAATTGTTCCTTACTTTTCTTTTTTTGGTTTCTTGAAGGATGATCTCTTCTATGCTGATTGTTGTGAGACGATTTATTATGGTTCTAAGTGCACCTGTCTACCTGGCATGATGGCTTGTACTGCGTTGCTCTCAATTGTTATGGTATCCATGGATAGGTTTGGATACGGATATGGATATGGACACAATAAACGTGATACGACGCTTATGGCTTGGGTGGGCAAACATAGATGTAGGTGCTCTTCTCCAAACTCAGATGATACTTCTGTTGCTACACACACCGCTTCAATACACGTGTACAGATTTCAAGATAAGTACAATCATTAATATGAGTTACATGGAATAGGAGATTAGAAGTCCTCATTTCTCAAGATTCTTTTCATCTGTTTTTGAAGTTCTGTGTTCCCCGGCCTAAAACATTCCGACTCGTGGACCCGCTGTCATCTCCGTAGGGAGGGAGACATAGAGCCAGGGACGGATACACACCCGCGGCGTGGACCATTCAAGATGAAGATTGGCGGTGAGGCAGGCACAACCCCCAGGCGCTTCAATTCTTTTTTGAAAGGGAAACCTGGAACGAGTTGGTATGTTGAACAATTGAACTTCATGGACAAGTGAAAAGTTGAGTTTCAGCGCCGAATATCTGACCCATACTCATGATTGGGCCATGGAGTGAGACGAACAAGCGCGTGTGATTCCAGTGCGACAGAAATACATACCGAGGTGGAGCGCCAAATTCTTAAAAAGGAAATCTGGAGTTTCACTTGGTGTAGACTGCCACGAGGTTATTGGTGAGTCAAGACTCAAGAGACTGGCAAAGATTCACATGCGAAAATATGCATAGGAATGATTGACTTATATCTAACGCCGATATGTCATTCAAATGCCAGAAGCATTCATTGATCACATACCCTTTCGCAATTGTGATTATATCTTATATTGCGTTATACCATCCCAGCATTGGTTCTTTGCCCAGGTAATTATTCTCATTCTATCATCATTTAGCCACTTTGTTCGGCGTCGAACGCCAATTTCATCGTCATAATAATCTCTTTACAATCTCAAATCATCGCCAAAGCCATTTTCCACAAATACTGATTATTGGGCGACATCGGCTTGAACAATCTGTCACCCGAACGTGCTTTGCAGATAGCGCGATTCTTTCTGTGCAGTAGCGGTCTATCGACACAGCGAATCCAATCTTTGGATTTGTGTTGATTATATCCACTATTACATGAAAAAGTACAGACATTTTCTAATCAACTGCAAGTGGGCATTGGCGAGAAACAATTGGACAATCGGCTCGGGCAGAGTTCCTCCCCAGGGTTTCTCGATAGTGCGAAATATATTGAATTTTAACCCAAAGATTTCCGCCAAATCTTCTTCCTTTCTTGAACCGATCATCCATCTTGGAGCAAGTACTATAGCACAGGTTTCTCTAGAATCAAGCCACCCTCCGTGTGATCAATTTAGATCTTCAACTTCTCTCGCCGTTCTCATCGTCAGCAAAAGCTCAAGATACCTAGTACGCTAAGATAGGAAGAGAGTGGGGTTGTGGTCAACTAATGCGGAGCAAGAAGCATTAACGAGGACTAGGAGGGGCATGGGCTTTATTGATTGCCAACGAACATCCAATCTCATTTACACCGAATTTTAGAAATTGTTCTGGATCAATCTTCCATCGCTCCACTAGACGATTTTAGTACATACCGGCTCAACAAACCAAGCGGTGGAAGAAGATCTAACGAACTATCTTAGAACTCCAAGGTTCGAATCTATCGAGTAGTGAGTGGGCTTGGTACATACAGTTAGAGGAAAGCCACCGGGGAAATCTCAGACTTTACTTACATCATTCTTTGGGTAATATTTGGAGAACCATTGGGGTACTGCCCGTGGTTCCTCCATATGCGTACATCTACTTGACGTACCCACCGCAGAAAATTGAGCATTTACTTTCATATCCACAGAAACTCCGCTCCCAGGAATTCTACAAAAGATTTCAAACCAACTTAGCGAGCATATCTGGCAACAGGTGGTTCTTAAATTGCAATCTACGAGAAGATTGAGAACTACAGGACGGCTATATACCCCGAGCGAAATCAAGAAGTCACGATTCGCACTTGCACCAAATCGTCATTACAATTTCGATCCAACCTCGCTTCAATCTCAGACATGTCTTCCAGAACCCACCGGAAGCTTTCCCCCTTGACTACCAATTGGAGCAATAGGAGTCATTCAAGTATAAACTCTGATGCTTCAGTCTTTTATTCAGCACTAGCACACCCGACACCAATCGAGCTCAAGCAACAAATTCCTCAATCACCTTCATCCCGTGCTCATCCACACACCATATCTTCTCCTCGAGAATTTTGCCCTACCAAGATGAACCGTCAAGACTCAGGTTACGCAGAAAATGTTTCCTACATACCCAGTCACATGCGAACGTCATCACGGCCTAGCTCAAAATCATCTTCCCATAATCCTCGGCCCTCATTGAATGCGTCCCGAAAATCATCTTCGCGTTCAAAGGATTCCTCCAGCACCTCCTCCTTAGCCTCCAGTGCAACCAGCCGGTCAACACCGAAACGCTGTCCAAAATCTCCCCGTACCTCCACTTCTCACTCACGCCCCAATGTCTCTAGGCACCACCACAGCCAAACGTTATCAACGCCACCACAATACCAATATTTTCACTTCCCCTCACTCTCCGATGACCTACCCCAAGAAACATCTAACCAGACTTCAACTGTGGCGCCACCCCCACCAGCTACAATCCATTACTGGACTTCGGACCAGACCCGAAGATTAGAGTACGCAGCCATTGACGCAGCAAGTAAAGGAATTCGGGGATTTGTAACACGATGTATACCCGATTGTTTCTTGCCAGCCGAGAAGAGAGGAAATAGATTCTGTCAAGAGGATATGCGAGAAGGAGATGATGACGCAGGGAGCGTGAGGAGATATCGACTCGTCATGGAAGACGAGGTTGAGAATGAGATGAAAGGCGAAAGGATCAAGGATAGAGCCCAGTCAGTAAAGGAACACAGGAGGAGGTGGAGTTCTTTTATTAGACGTTGAGCCGGAGAGGAAATTGTGGTTTTCTGTGGGATTGCATTCACGGAGCGACAGGAGCACTGGGCTACGTTGTTATAGTTCGCTATCTTTCATTTGTTCTTGATACCCCCTTATATAAGGATGACGTTTTTGAGCTTGGTGGCAGTTTTTTGATATTGCATATTGGAATTGATTTAAATTCTTGGGATTTGGTTGACGGCAGAAATACAAAGAGATCACAGCATTCATATGGAAAGATGGCATTTTCGGTGTCTAGGAGAATAAATGGTCCCAAGAGGATACGAGAACAGTTGAGACAATAGTAGCACATACCTAGGTATTGTTGGGAAGATATAAGACTGTAGTTACTCCCTGAGGAGATGAGAGAATGGTAACATCAAGATATTCGAAAAATATCGAATTTCAACAACTTCGTGTCCAAAAATCAAACTGCAGGCACGATTTGATTTACAATAAGAGCACAACATCTTGCCAGTAATAAAAGGGGGTGTTATATTGAAAATATGACTATTCCTGTTCCCAATCGAAAATAATCTCCATCAACGCTTTCTCTACCTTCAAAAAACAAAAAGTATTGAGTGACGCTGATCTGTTGTACAAACCATAACCCATCCTGAACTCCATGCTTAGAAACCGATCCATGTACACATCTATAGCTCATGCCCTTCTGATAGCAATCTAGCAATCATGACATACGTGAAAATCACTCCACCGGCGATCCAGTATTTATGCGTTTGTAACCAACTTCTTCCCTCTCTGCCACCTTCTACCACAGCTCCCACAACAGCTTGACTACCTCCTGGTCTCTTCATCGCAATTCCGCTGCAGTCCCTTCCTTTCTCCTCCTCATCTTTCTTTTCCTCGTTTCCGGTCACAATATCGACTCCCCTCTCTTTCATCCACTTCCAGTTCTCCTTATCCAACTCTTCCCATTCACTTCTAAACTTTGCGCCTCCGTCTCCGGCCTTGATATTGCCCTTCTGTGTTCCGTCTTTCTTGTAACTTCCTCCTCCGGTGCTATTCCACCATCTCGTCCTACTCGCAGCCCATTTTCTTTCCGATTTAGATGCGTTTACCGAACCCGTTGTCATTTCTTCACTTGTCATAAAACTTAATAGACCTATCAATATTGTGCTCACTTCCCACGCGGGATTGAAACTCTTAGGATGGAAATCGCTGATCGATAGACAAAGACGAGTGGAGGGTTGGAAACGCCCGGATGGCGTGTGCATTTTGATCGAGGGAGGCGCAAATGGATAGTTGGGAGGGAACAGAAGGGTACCCCAGTATTGTCCACCATGATAGGGAGTATCGGGAGGTCCGGTGAGGATATAATGCCATTCAAGGATATTGGATTCGGAGGGATGGGCTTCGATGTATGGAGGAGGATTTTCGGAGATGGTTTTGTATTCACGGGTTAACTATATCAGTATATGTTAATCATAAAACAGATGAAAGCAGACTGCCATGTACATGTTGATTTACATACCCGTTTGTTGGCAGCTCGACTTGCCATTTTATCGTCGCACTTGAAACTTTGAGGATACGCTGGCCTTGTTGCGCTGCGTGTGAGGATAGAAGATGTTCGGGGATCTGACGCAAGGTTCTTGAGTATGTCTGATGGATGATTTTCTTTGGTTGGGATGATAGATCCAGTCAGAACCAAAATGTCTATTTGAGTTGTCAAAAAGTCAATTAGAATGTGCGAGTTGTAGGTTGTTCGTAACAAAAGATTCACATGGAATGCTTTGGGTTTTATTAGGGATGATTCAATGATGCAGGAAGTGCAATAGACCTATTATTAGTCTCTTGCTTAGTCATCGACGGTGTTTGAACTAAAGCCTCCCCGCTGTATGATTGAGAATCAGAGGACCTGGAATAATTCTGGGTAGACTTATACGATATGACTTCGCCAAATGGGCCAAAGGGGGCTGTGAGTTTATTTCTACAGTTCGGAGCATTTCAGTACAGTGAAGTTGCTAATGTATTTGGTTGCAGCTTGTCGAGAGTCTCCTAAAAACCGATCCCAAGTCACAAAAGGAGCTGGAGAAAGCTATAGCAGAGAAGCATATGGGATATGCTTTAGAGGCTGCACAGAGAAATGGAGAGCTGGTATGTACATGTAGTAGCTTCGAGAGTTTATGTTTCCATGGGCTCACGGAATAGATTGGCAATAATTCCACAAAACCGGTCACAATCTCCTCGATTAGACTCCTTGGCCCCTCGCACACAAGGAGGTCATTCCTCGACGGAATATTCGATCCTCTGCTTAGTGCAAACAGAGATGGACCATATACATTGTCAGAAGCATTGCAGGAACTCAGTACAGCTACAAACAAACTCCGTCGACATGGTACGATACTCCTCACTAGGATCTAATCAACATTATACTTACTCCGTCTTAGGCATTTTCCACGATGACATCTCGATGTTCATTGATAAACCTGACCCTACTGACCCCTCTTCTACTCCTTCCGATATCGATATATACATTCGTGCACGAGAGCGAGGCGTTATTACACTGAAAACTGGCACTGATCTTGGCAATGCGGAAGGCTCAGCCTATGGAAATGCCCAATGGCGTAACATATTCGGGGGTGCCGAGACCTTGAATGTCAACGCTGCTACTGGTACTCGAACTCGTTCTGCGTATCAAGCTACATTCGAGGCTCCAATTTTGAGTGATCCCGATAAAAGAGTAGCTGTAGATGTTTTGTCGAGCGCGACTAGTAAGCCGTGGGCAAGTCACGAAGAAGTCCTCAAGGGCGGAGGCATAAAATATAGTTGGACTTCAGGCGGTGGCAGCACACATCAAATTGGATACAGTGGAGTATGGAGACAAGTGACGGGCTTGGCTGGAAATGCGTCACCTACGGTACGCAACGATGCAGGAGATACAGTCAAGAGCAGTATCTCACATATCTGGCTTAAAGACGAACGGAATCACCCTATACTACCAAACCAAGGATACCTTTTAAAGTCAACATCTGAAATTGCAGGTTGGGGACCACTAAAAGGAGATGTGGGATTCTGGAAATCGGAAGTCGAATCTAGTGGGGCTGTCAAAGTTCCTGGGATATCTGGTGCAAGCTTGACCGCTGGTATCAGAGCAGGAATGTTGTATCCGCTAGGCGTTGGATTCGGTACTGCAGCCAAGCCATCACGCATAAACGATAGATTCCAACTCGGGGGACCGACGGATGTTCGTGGATTTAAGATTGGCGGTCTTGGACCTCGAGACAGACAAGATGCAGTTGGAGGTGACGTCTACGCAGCTTCGTCTATTAACCTTCTTCTCCCATTTCCCCGCCTCGACGTGTCAACCCCACTGCGCCTCCAGTTATTCGCCAATGCCGGCCGTCTCCTTGCACTTAGAAACTCGGAAAATACAAGTGAGAGCGTATACGGCACAGTCGCAGAACTCGGTAAGGAGATCCCAAGCTTGGCTGTCGGAATAGGAATGGTGTATGCACACCCCGTGGCACGATTTGAATTAAACTTTGGCCTACCCATCGTCGTTAGAAAAGGAGAGGAAACTAGAAAGGGTCTCCAATTCGGAGTAGGCATCAACTTTCTATGATTTATGAAGTTTCGCGGAGTAGGAGTAGATGAGGCAGGGCATATACCATAAAAAGGCGAAAATGGAGCTTGGGTTGTATAAATGTACAGTATGCTACGTACCAATAGCTTTAGCCAGCTAACTGGATAGAAAATAGGAAGACAATCACGACTTTAGATCGATTTACTGTGCTTTTTTGTTGTGGGGCCCCTATAATGTCTGTGTTTTAGCTGTGGTTCCGGGTGCTGCCGCCGCCACGTTGCTTCGAAAATCCCTGCCATTCAAGAATTGATAGTGGGACGCCGATTAGACAATTCGAATTCTACGAATACAAAGGAAAGCCTTCCACTCATCGATGATTTTTCGATCATTAGCATTTCCAGGCATTGTTATGAGGAACGCCCACCTTTAGAAGCTCAAATTTATCTGAACCTTTTGAGAGTTTTAAACATAGTCCATTTTTGACGATGGCTTCAGTTACAAAATTCGGCTCCGCTCTAGAGTCTTCCTCCTATCAAAGTCCCGATGGCGGTTCTGCTTACGCACCTCTTCGTAAGAAAGCGATTGAAGAAGCCATCGCAATGGGATACAATCCGGCAACCATGGTTGAATGTGGAGTGACTTGGGCCGATGATCACGATCCATTCCAGCACGTGAAGAACGCAGCTTACGTGCATTATGTGAACCAATGCGCATTTCGCGAATTCCAATCATTCGAACCGTATTTGGGCAAAGAGAAATTTCAGGATATGCTCAAGGTCCGCGGCGTTGGACCTGTTGTCAAGAACTATACAGTTAATTTCAAAAGGCCTGTGAAATTCCCAGATTCGGTATGAGTTTTTTGTGTGAGATGCTGTTGAATTTGGGCTCACGAAACGAACTAGCTTATTGTCGCGAATCATATCACTGAGGTTTTCCCAGATCGTTACTTTGGTATTACCTCCGTCTGGTCTTTGAACCAGCAAGTTATTGTTGCAGATTTCAAAATATGCATAGTATTTTTTGATTATGATCGAGGTGTACCAGCCAATCTTCTTGAAATTGGCGGTGTGTACAAGGATTTATATGAAGCTCTGAAGCAACGTTCAGAAATGGAAGCGAAAATAGCTTCGATTTGGGAGAAGGAACATCCTAAGAGAACGAAAGCCATGCTGTAATTCAACTTCAACATAGAGACAGATTCGTGGGCGAATATGGCAGTGTTCGTTCCAGACTGCAACCCCCAAACATCATATTTCACATGGGTATTCGTCAATAAAGAGAAGGAGATGATGTTGGCACGCAAAACATTTCCAATGGCCAATCTATTGATTCAAATCGGTCGGACCGCAGCTCACAAATCAGTATATCCCTTGACCGAATTCCACATAGAAGAGGGACATTTAAAGCCGTGGCATCTCATATTCGGGTTATCATCACGCAAAATTGCCCTAGCATTGGCCCCCTCTTCCACGTATCTTCCGTCCACCGAATCTTCATTCGGACCTCGAAGCTCGGAAACCATCACCAATCATCACGATTAGGCTGTGCCTCAAGTGCACCCTCTGCAGCAAGGTCAGAGTTTGTCTCAATCCCTATTTCTATGTGAGCTTTGCAGTGGAATAATGCTTAGTAGGTAGCTTACTGGGGCTAATAGCCATAGTCATGGCCGTGCCAATAAGAGAAACTGCGAGGAGGAAAGTTTGGAAACGCATAATGAAAAATGTATAAGTCGATTTTCAATTTTCGAGGTTCGGCTGACGCTTCGAGGACGTTCTTTGATGCCGTGAGATCTTCTTGCCGAGAAGGAAAGACTATGCTTTTGAATTTAGCGAAGCATTTTACTTGGCAACTCTCTAGATATATATCTTGAATACAGCAATGGGCATGTAACTCTGAAAAGCGATATCTTAACTGTGTATTTGATTTGTACGCCAACCGATCATCTGAAAGTATAACATTGTATTCGTACTCTCACACTGACAGGGCTACGCAAGGATATACAGATTCAATCTTAATCTCATTTCACGTTGCTATTCGATAGAGAACGAGTTCCCAATGACGAGGTGATACGATTCAAGCACGCGCACCTATCTAGACGCCATCAATCATACCAAATGTTAACTGTCGAGTGCCGTATCCACATATCGAAGCATGTGCAGTTGCGCAGGGCTCCGGATATTATGCGGTGAAAGATGCTATGAAGTGACTTTCGTGTGCAGTTAGTATTTGTACGAAAAGACTTTGTATGACCGTTAAAGTTTCACCAATTGAGCCTTAATCAGCTCTTATCATCTGCTACACCCCCACTCTGTATTTCGATCGTGTCCAAATATTCTCTTTACATCCGATCCATCCTCCAAACATTCGTTATGATCCTTCATACATCTGAAGATACTAGAGGATTGCTCTCTGGGGAAAAAGGCCATGGTGATGACGATAGAAATTGTCCTCATTGCGGAAATAGATCTCCCAAGTTAAAACCTTCAGGGAGATTGCGATCATGGACCATGTTGATCATGATATACGGCATTGTCGCCGCATTTACTCTCATTGGCATGGCTACACTACTTTCCTCGAGTCGAAATACCTTCCTCAGACTACCAGAAATGAAATCGAGTCATCGTCCATCATTGTGGAGTATCTACACGTTTGCTTCTCCAGAAATTGTTTTATTCTAACAGAGCTTCAGCTCCCTTTGCAGATGGGATTCGGTACGAAGTCGAAACAGCTCCATCTGATCTTTGGGCAAATAACATTTACATGGGAGAGCCATGCGATGAATCAGAACGGGCATGGAACAATCTTATACATCGTTAGTAGGCTCAATTATAACCAAAATTGCATCTTCAGATACTCATTTTCTCCAGCAAATCGAGGACATGGTGTTAGGCTTTACCGCGAGGAAGCTGCAAGGCTAGACATTAACAAGAGTATACTCTTACAGGACAACAACTTTGCTGTCATTCTTACAGTTCATCATAATCTTCACTGTCTGGTATGAGCTCTTTTTCACTAATCATGCGATGATTGAATGCTTATTACCTGGCGCTGCCCTTTAGAGACGACTCCGACAGTCCCTTTTCCCAGAACATTACTATGCCAATTGGACGGATGAAGATCGAGCAGATGATAGACATCACCAATGTAGGTTGATCTTCAATTGATATTTATTTAAGCCAACTGACTAACCAGTCTCAGTACATTGTCTCGAATCTCTTCGTTCCTCTATGATCTGTCAACCGGATCTAGCACCTCTTCCCTACTATTGGTCTGGTAATAAAAGACACGATATGAATGCAAGTCCACAATCCAAACGTGAATGTGTTAATTGGGATGTATTTTCTGAATACTTGAAAGGGAGGAGCTATAAAAGGTCCGAGATGATTCATGATTGATCTTGGGGAGTGTGTTAACTTTCAGTTGGGCTCATGCATGCGAGTTGTTTAATTAGTATTTTTAGTGTTGACAAAACGATATATATCCATTGCATCTACCTGACTGCGATGATTTATCTTCATGATGCCATTTGAAAATCGGATATTCAATTAGACAGTGCCGGTACTACTCCATTGACAAATCGGAAGCTCTCAGCAAGATACTTCGATTAACGAGTCTTGGCCAAGTCATCCGCACGTCTGTCAAACACAAAGGCAAAGCTTGAATGTTCGGAAGAGAAAGAATGTACAAGCTGGTAGTACTAATCAGGCTCAAGTATTACACTGTGTTCCATTGATTAGCCTTACGGCGAGAAAAACGAGATTTTGCCGTCGCACAAGATTCACTACATGTCAACGAAGACTGATCCGGCATACACGACCCGGATCCACGGCTTTATTAAGCTTTTACGTCGGGGACACTCGTTGTGATAGCATTTCTGGCACCACCACTCTTGCCCGTTGTGGTTGCCGAACACAATCGCTCTTGCTCCAATGGGACGATAGTTTGTGCTACCAATTCAACGTTCCCTTTCAAAATATGTGGACCTCGAGAGATATTTGGCACCTATCATCCTGTATCTAATCATTTTATGAGGCGAATTTGTGACACAAAACATACAAAAGGTTCCTAGGTACTTACGAGAACGCCTCGTAAGGAAACCAGTCATACCCGAAGGCGAATTTGAGTTTTCCACAGGTACTTCAACTGGATTCCCACAACAATCTTCTCTGTGATCTTACGTCTTCCATGGGCTTGAATCTATCAAACTGTGGCTTTTATTTTTGAGATTGCTCCCGTGTTTAAAGTTGTTACATGTGAAAATGGCATCGGGGCCTCAACTTACAACGTGTACAGACTCCCCTTGCGAGGTACATGATACAAGCGCGGAAGAGGTTTCACTTCATCCTTCAAACGGTGATGTTTTCCATTCTTTGGGAAAGGAAAAGCAGACCTCAGAGCCACTCGTGAATGAGCATGATCTCAACAACGATAATCCATCGCTCTCCAATTGGTCAATTGATCCCCAGAATCCAACAAACTGGTCTTCTATGCGTAAATGGACGACTATAATTCTTCTCGTTGTCACAAACTTCATAGCGTAGGGCTTATCATCGCAAAAAAATCCAAATCCCCCTGATCTAGCAGCTAAATATTACAGATCAACATGTACCTCAGCATTCGAGCCGGCGCTTCCTTCCATAATGGCTGATTTTCACTCTACCAACGGTTCAATCGCCTCTCTCACCATCTCCATCTACACTATAGGTTACTGTCTCGGACCTCTTCTCGTCGCTCCTATAAGTGAATTATACGGACATGTGACTGTACTATATCCTGGATACATTGGCTTTATGCTAGCTCTAGCTGTTTGTGGTTCGAGCAGAAGTCTTCTTTTATTTGTAGTCTTCCGTGCTATCATGGGGCTTGCGGCTATCACGTTCGTACTCATGGGTCCTGCGATCGTGGCAGATCTTATTCCCAGGGAACAAAGAGGATTGGCATTGAGTATTATGTCTACCGGGCCTGTCGTGGTATGTAGAGTGTTGATACGATTAAGATATGCTTTCTTGCTAACTACTTTTAGGGTCCAACGATTGGTCAGTTTTTCTTCTTGGCTCATAGTTTGGTCAAAAGACTCATCTACTTAGGTCCTGTTATCGGTGGTTATATCGTGGAAAACATCAGTTGGAGATGGATTTTCTACTCAACGTTGATTGCTGTAAGTGTTCCCAGATGTATCACTTTCGGATATCTAACAACTCTGCAGTTTGGTGTTCTGTTCTTTCTATCTCTTGTCATTCTTAAAGAGACGTATGCACCAGTAGTCTTGAATCGAAAGCAAAATAAAGGGGGAACAAGCCTACCAGGAAGTCAAAATATCACAGCCCTCAAAACTCCTCGAGAAACTCTGCAAGCAGCCTGGACCCGTCCCTTCAAATTTCTCTTCCTCTCACCTATCGTTCCCTTTGTAGGCTTCTATAGTGCTCTAAGCAACGCCTACGGAATGGTATGTTTCGCGACCCTCGGCACCGTATTTCAAAACAACTACTCCTTTACACCCGGCCAAAGTGGTCTAGCATATCTCGGTCTCATGTTTGGCTTCCTCTTCTGCCAACTAACCCTTGCTCGATTTTCCGACCGTTATATGCTCAGAATGGAAGCGAGAAATAACGACAAGCGCCCGGAATATCGTCTGCCACCCATGTTCATCGGTGCATTTCTCCTCCCCATCGGATTTCTCTGGTACGGATGGTCTCTTGAATATCACACCCATTGGATCGTCCCCGTTCTCGGAAGTTCGGTTATTGCGATTGGTATTCTATTTAGCTATCTGCCAGTACAGATGTATCTTGTAGATACATATACTATCTATGCTGCGAGCGCTACTGGAGCATGCACCATCATCCGTTCGATCTGTTCAACTTTGATCCCGTTGAGTGCTAATCCCTTATATGATCGTTTAGGGTATGGGTGGGGTAACAGTGTCTTGGCGTTCATTGCAATAGGATTCGTGCCAATTGCTTTGCTAGTGTTGAGATATGGGGAGAGAATTAGAACGAATCCACGCTTTCAACCGAAGCTCTGATATCGAATTCTGAGAGGCGTTAGGGGACAATTGTTAGATAATTATGATTTACTCAGAGGAGCTTACAATGCGAAGAAATTTTGGGGATCTATTTATCTGCAAAGAGTCGAACAAGAAGCGAGGCGAACTTAATTAGATAGTTGGGTGAAATTTACATAAAGTTATCCCTACATAGAGGAATTGGTATACTTCTCGGTAATTTGAATATTGATTTCAGAAATGAACTAATTAAGATACCATAAGAGGAGCCAAAGGTTGTGATGATCTACCCAGGTGCTATGTACTTGAGTTAAAGACGGCATTTTTAGCCATCTGAAAAATCGTTCACAAACTCCTGAAGAAGCAATATTTATCTGCCCATAATCTACCAAGAACCCAGGAGTAATCATGTAAGTGACTAACAGAAAGCTCACAATCTAAACTTCTGCTTGTATTCATCCTTCATACCTTTTAAGTCCGATGCAAGACAAGGTTCCACCAAGTCAGCCCACCATCCTTTCCGATGCGATCTCAAGCCAACCTCATGAAGCAACGCATCCGTATACCAAACAAGCTCAAAGAAAAAGCATTCTCCTTTTTGACCGTGAGTAGGGTATCTTCGTTTTGAAAAGGCCCCCATGTAGGCTATTTCTTCTAGCATTTGTTCCAATGGAGGTAGTTTTATATTACGGTCGAAAAATGCTGTTGTCCAGATGGCCTGTGTTTCGGCAGCGCGAAAAGAGTTAGAAATATCTATAGCCCCTAGAAACGCGATTGAATAATCTGCAAGTGGCGCGATACCTTTGTATAGTCTTTGTACTGTTGTATCAGGGGAAGCGCGATTTTGGTGTGGAGGAGGGTTTTCAAGGAGTGGAAATTTGGCGATCACTTGACGATCTGCCTGCTCATAGAGCTGATCCCAAAACGATCTTTCTTCGATACTCTCCATTGACTTAAAGTGAGGAAGACCGAGATAATAAGCTTCTTTATCGCTAAAGCACTGTTGCTGAGGATCCCAGCCCGTTCCCAATAACAACTCATCTGCTATAAGTTGCTTGCCGTTGTCTAAAGTTATGATGTTGTCTTTGTAAGAAACAACATCGTTCCGGTAGACTTGAACATTCTGAGATATCGTTTCCCAAAAGTCATCGTGCTGTACAAGTCCTACAGGTCCAGTGCACCAAAATGCACTAATGATGTCAGTGTTCTTTTCTCGCATAATTGGGGCAGACTCACGAAGAACTGAAGTCAAGGAGCTTAAATCCCTCTAAAGATTCCGGTCTGCTGTCATATCCTGCTATATTACGACAATATTGATCAACATTCCTTATTCTCTGAATCATATAGTTCATCCCAGTGCGAGTTCCATGAATCAAGGTTCGAATGATGGAGAGCCACCAAGTATTTGGCATAAACGGAGATGGACTAAAGAGTGCTTTGAGCCTAGTTGCCGAACTTTCGACTGAATTCTTGTAGCGCCCATGGCCAGGGGCGGGAAACAGTAGAGCTGGACCCTCGCCACTTGCTCTAATAATCCATTTGACGTTCTGACCTTTCTTAGCTAACTCGTAGACCATATCTGCAGCAGACTTGCCACCGCCAAGAACTGCAAAGAATAGTACACCGCTGGCCCAAGGTAATGGCTGCTGTGATAATTCCCCAAAAGCTTTATGGTGACGAACAAATCTCATACTCGATTCCCAATCAATTGAAGGTATCCTAGGATTTGAAGTACGGCCAGTAGCTACAACAAGCTTGTGACATGCATGGGTAATCGGCAGTTGACTTGGGTGCTTTTCCTTGAGATGGCTTGGAAGTTCTGTTATGACTTCCCATCCATCATAAGATTTATTGATCTTGACAGCTTTACAGTAGAAATGTATCCTAGAAAAGATACTTTTTCCGTTGTATATATGATTATGCGCATAATCCTCGAGATAATTGGTGACATACTTTGCTTCGAATGTATCATGGTATAAGGGCGCATCTTCGGGGACAGTAAGAGGAACATCGGAGAATCCAGACATTCGTCGGCCACTTTGACACCAGAAATTATCGTATGATCGTCCTTGAGATTGCACACAAACGTCAGTATATACAAATGAAAATTGAATAGGGAGGCAAACAGCCAGAAAATAAACAACACTTACTTTCACTCCAAACACCACCAAGGCATCTATCCTCTTCAATAATAATCAGTTCCGCTTCTGGATGAATATCAAGGTAGAATCTAGCAAAGGCCAAGCCGCTTAGGCCTATGGAACATTATATGAAAGTCAGCGATTCGTAATTTTAGACGCAACAAGTAAAGTATTCCATGATAAAGGAAGAGAAGATAACGTAGTTCATACCGGAGCCAATGACAACAATATCAAACTTAGTCATCTTACCAAATGGTTGACAAGATGATCAGTGGTGCTTTGGATTCGATATTTGATATTATGTTGTGATGTGACGCGTCTTGGGTGTAACCTAGAACACCGAGAAAGTTGAGAAGAGTGAAATCACGGCTCAATATATCGTTTCGATGGTGAATGGATGATGTAGGTAACGGTGACCCCATTGGTCGTATATGCCTCTTTTGCCATTAACCATGTGAGGTATAGGATACATTACACAAACACAAACACGGCAGGAACGAAGTAAGTACGTACATGGTAGTAGTTGTATGATTGTATCATCTCCCACTAATCTACTTAGTACATTCATCCCTCTCTGGTTTGACTTGCTCAAGATACTTCCATTGTATCTCTTATAATTGCCCAGCGAAAGTTTATCGCCCAATAGCGAGTTGTATATGTTGCCGGTTTTCCATATCGGCGAATTCGAACTTAATTTTGAAGGGTGTCAATTGTGTAAGATTAGAAACTGGCCGAACTCTATTCAACCATCAAGCACATCAAGCAGCTGCCATCGAAATGCTACAACAAAGAGGATGTGCTACCCTCACATATTCTTGGATTCCCAAAATAACAAGACGATCCACGACAATCAATGCGCAGTGAAGTGATACACAGGACAGGACAGGAAGACACAACACGTGACATATTGTAAGGTTGATTAAAGGGTCACGGTGCACTCGGGTGTCCTAGCTCATTCCTCCAAAGCTCACCTCACTTAACACTTCATTGCAACAAACAAACCACATCACAGAAAACAACAAGTACTAGCGAAGGTATCACATTGAAATAGAAGAAAATCTCGCAGTTCTTAATTTATGATCCACAAAGAAAGTTAAACTATTCAATTGTTTGAAAATCTTGATGATGCTGTAACAAGTGTTGCTGCCATGCTAGGCCTCCCACGCTCACGATATACTGTCTTGATCTTCAAGGCCAGGAAAGTGGTGAATGGCGATTAACAGGCAGTGTATCTACATCGGAAATTTTCTCGAAGCTGTGCCCGTTATGTTAACTTTTGCATGCAAGTTTGGAGGAGAAAGGCAAAGCATCGATAATTTATATTTGCTTGTGGAAGTTGTCTATTTGTACCCATACCGTCTATATACTTTGCACTCTACGAGAATGATATCATCTTCCTCTCGGCCCTTATTTTCATTCTCTTCTCATCCCATATTGGTGCTTCATAACATGATCTAAGGAGATGAATAGGTACAAACGCGAAAGTCATGCACTATTCGCTAGAAATTTTAGGCTATGAGTGGGTTGGGAATTTCTTTGAAACCCCATTGTATTTGTCTTGCAGCATGTACAATAATCCTACGCTTAGGTTAGTAGTCTCTATGGATGGTTTGCATTGGTGGAAGCTTACCCCAAGTCATCCGCCCACGACCAAACCAGACCAGGATTTTTCTGAAACATTCTTCCACTGAAGATGGCGTCGAGGCCCTCTTCAAGAAGTCCATTAGCTTGCACGCCGTTTGTGATGCTACCAACAGCACCGACAAAGGCTTTGTCCTTAACAGCACTCTTAATGTATTTTGAAAAGCCAGCTTGGTACCCGGGGCCGACTTTGATGATCTGTCCTGGATGGGAGCCACCAGAAGATACATCAATAAAATCTACGCCGAAGCTTGCAGCTTTTACTGCTAATTGCGCGCTATCTTCAAGAGTCCAACCATCAATTCCAGTCTCCTCTAACCAATCTGTTGCACTTATTCGTAAGAACAAAGGCATTGTCTCGGGTATCGTAAGCCGAGTATCCTGAATTACTTCAAGAAGCAAACGGATGCGATTTTCAAAACTACCACCATACTCGTCTGTTCTCTTATTACTGACAGGGCTTAGAAATTGATGAAAGAGAAATCCATGAGCCGCATGGATCTCAATGACATCAAACCCGGCTCGTAAGGCACGCTCAACAGAGCTTACCCAAGACTTTCTGAAATCTGCAATATCGGAGAGCGTCATTTCTTTAGGCATGAAAGAGCCTTCACTGTAGGGCACTGGACTTGGTCCGATAATATCATCAGGCCAACCACCTGTCTCTTCGGTTGCATTCCCATTTCCCAGCCATGGTGCAACCGTGGAAGCTTTTCGGCCTGCATGCATGAGCTGAATACCGATGTGTTGGCTCTATTGGACGTTGGAGTGTCAGTAATTGCCTAAAATAAGGAATGGCCGGAAAAGAGATGCATTGGGGAAGTGGGATCATAAATGTGACACGTTCAAGCAGAGTTGGAAACTGAGGACCTTTACGTGCCTGGGAATGTGTGAATTCTACAATCGCTTTCAAAGCTTCAAGCTGCTCCTCATTCCAAAGGCCTACTCCATTAGGATCGATCCGCCCGTTTTTTGAAACAGCAGTTCCTTCTACCATAGTAAGACCAGGACCACGCGTGACCCAGCCACCGATTTGGGACATGTGCCATGGTGTTACTTTCCCATTTTCAGCCGAGTATTGACATAACGGCGAAACCTACGTCGAAAATTAATATCATCAGTCTCCTTTCGTCATATGATATTTTGAAAGTACACACCCATATTCTATTTTGGAAAGTTACGCCTCTAATGGTCAATGGTTGAAAAAGTTTTGGGATGATTTGAGCCTTCAATGAAGGGCTTACTGCTGTTCCGGATGGAGGATTTTGAGCAGGTGTGAAATATGGCTATGGTTTGATTAAAAGAGAACCACTAGAATCAGATTTATGGGGGAAAGGAATAGCTGCTCACAACGTTCTCTGCTCTGGCATTGATTGCTTTGGTCTTAGAAGGCGCCATCATCGGTCAGGTAATATACAATACCTTTTTATTCAAGCTAATACTCGATCTTGAGTAATTTTCTCCTGGTTGTATGAGGTGCAAATGTGAAAGACTAGGTAAAGTGTCCCCTATATCGATGTATGATAGAAACTTAAAGGAGGGAAGATGCGCTCATACCCACTTATAGGCTATTCATAACATAGTCAACCACCTCAGATGATTGAAAGCCGCAACTCCGACGCATAGGATTTTTTCAAAACAATATGTTGCATAATACTAAACTTTATACAGGGCTATAGCATTTAACTGCTTCTTTAGTTCGAATCAAAATCCATTAATTTGCTCATTATTATTTAATTCTTTTCATGAGGTCGATATTTTGAAAAAACATATCTTTTTAACATCGACCTAAAGTCGAAAATACAACCTCAATATTCAACCGTTATTAATTTGATGACGAGAAACAGTATAATGGAAAGAGATTCCAATGAATATATTGATACAATCTCGTTGACCTTTTTTATTCATCCAAATATGAAATCAATAAGGTTGTGTGGTTGATTTATTACATTTATTCGAAAACTCCTACGCGTCGGAGTTGCTGCATGGCGGAGTTACTGTATGTGGTAGTGATTGACCATATTGTGAATAGACGACATCTGAGTCGATCTTTGATTTGAAATCCAAGAGCTGCTTTGAAATTCAGAACTGCTTGATAATCAAGTCATATCTATCTATCCATCGAAGGGTGGATCTGGATAAACCAATCTGGGTTAGAATAGCTCTGGGTGGCCTCCTTACGTGCTAGAAGTCTAGATATGGGTGGGCGTTTGGAGCTGTTTTATTGGTCTATTTGCTACGTATGTTCTTCTTATCGAACACCAGCTATCTTATCTTGCTATTGCTTTTTCTACTCTGACTATTTGCATGTGCGTTTGAACTTTCTTTGTCGTCAGGAAGACTCGAGAAAGTGCGTTTCCATGACTTATGCCTCTTTTTACTCTCCGGCCTTCTCAGTTTCTTTCTTCAAAAGGAGACGCTATTGTTTGAATCGCAGCGACTTTGGAAGTAGTTCAACACCTCGCATCTATCAATTGTTTTGAAGTGCAGGCCTCGGGGACACCCGACGATCGACTGGAGATGCTCATCTAATTCTGGAGTCATTTATCAACCACAGCACTCTACTAGGATTGGACTTCTCGTTTTCAAAAGAGATATTTTATACGTTCACTGTTTGCCAAGTGGGTAGAAAACTACTTCTCCTGCCACGTTCCATTCAAAATCTACTCAATTGCTTCATCACAATGCAGCACACAATACAGTATTCTCAACCTTGCTGTCTTAATCTCTTTATACACTTATATTATTTGTTCAATGATTAGACAACGCGACATCATCTCGATGCGTATTTAGTGCTGAACAGAATGAATTGATCAGGCCTTCACAATCACCTCAACTCAATCGATGCTCATTTGCAGGCTCTCGAAGTCATCTAATCTTATTAGTGTTCCACATCAATTATTCTTGAATTCTCTCACATGCAAAGGACCTGGCCGCATAAATCATCAGCTAGATTCTCATGATTATGAGTACGCATCGGAAGATCAACAGACGTTACCGCTGTATGTAGCCTTTGAAAGTTACTGGACCCAGTTATGTCTTGTTTGCGACTTGAGCCGAGAGTATTGATTGTGTGGTGTTACTCTATGTAGTATTTATAATCAATCGAATGAAGAGCAAGTGATTAACCTATCTCTTATTCCCTTATATTATGCAATTTGACTCTGCAATCTGAAGGTGTTCCGACTGGAGCTTCTTATTGTCGCGGTTAAGAGCAGTATTCGGAAAGTATCGTGGCACCTTGGAAAATGATGTGCGTGTCAAATTGAGAAGTTGCAATAAATCCAGGTCCTTCCCACTCATCGCCCATACCTGAGATGAGACCCTCGATGTATGAAAGACTCTTTCGTACGCTTCCTGGCTATTTGAAGATTTGCGACGTGAGGTCATTCGATGCATGAATGATTGATGAATAAATAAATGTAGGGTCGCCGTCTTCTATGAAATGGATAATTAAAATCGAAGATCTGGGATTAGCAGATCATTTTGAGTACATCAACTCTTCAGACTCAATTTTCATCAAGGTCTTCGAATTTGAAATCATTTGGAAAATAATGAGAGACTCTTGTGTTAATGGAGCAGATGTATCAGCAATCTAAGAGTTTTTTTCAATCATAGATTATTTTGCTGTTCAGGGGTATCGCTTCCGGGCGTAACCAATATGCTTAAAACCCGGTAGTGGTGGCACAACAATACTTGAGGAAGTGAATGCGTGAAATTTCCTTTCTCAAGTTCATAGATCCTTCTCCTGTGTTTTTGATGGCTTTTGTCACCTTTATAGAAGGCATAGTTCCCAAATGCTCTGTTTCCACCTCAATACGTCACTTTGGTGATTTCGATACTTTCAGGTCCCATTTCAACATCGAGATTCGCGAACACACACAAACAGTACCCGATCAAAACATAGCACGTATAGGTATGTATCAATTGTATTATTCATCACATAATCCCATCCATCTCTCAAGAAAAGAAATCTAACTCCAGTTCCAATTCCGATTCCAACGCCGACCCAAAATCCCGCTCACACGCGAATCGACTCATTAGCCCCCCAAAAACCCACACCATCTCTGTCCATTCATCCAACTATCTATCTATGCCTCTCCTTCTCCGCATACGTCTTATTCCACGGTTTCCTATCCTTAACACTCTCCATCAACGCCGTGCGATCAAAAATCGTATCCCTATTTACCCATTAGCCATTAGCCATTTCCATTCCCTTCCTTCTCCCACTCCCACCATACACCCCTCTTACCAATCACAATAAAATACACATCCACGCACCGATAGAAAATCACAAAATAATAATACATACATAGGATCTTGTTCAATATGCGGTTTGGTATGAACATTATAGGAATGTAATTGCGAATCCATCCCCGCCTTGATGCTGTGGTGAGGAGAAGGCTTGAGGAAGGCGTTGGCGCCAATGAGACCCCCGATTGCGGCGACGGTCATGACGATTGCTTCGCGTTTTGCCATCATGGACATTTTAGGGTGGTTGTATTGGGTTGCTGTATGTGGTATTGTGAGAGTGATAGTAGAGGAAGAGTTTCAATTGATTCTTGATATCGGACAATGTGTGAGGAAATGTAATAATCTTTACTTGTCATTGATATTATATACCGAATATCAAAAAATCCTCCCTCACATCTTCAATTAATATCTATTGCATACAATACAATACATACCACTCATCAGCCAACACGATTGTTGTGAAAACCGCAGCATTCCTCACCTCAGACGAAGAGGTCGTACGATGCTGATGAAATCACCCCACACATCATCTGAGCGGGCGCAATGGACCACCCCGCATTTTGAAACAGCATACACATGTTGGCAAAATGAGGAGAGTATGTCATGCAATTGTTCGATCGCTTGCGTAAATGGTCTTTTGTCATGATTTTATGTGGTGGATGTCGTACGACCTGTTGTGTGACATTTGCGTGATGATCAGCATGGCAGTTAGTTTCGGGAAGGGGCTGTGATGGTTGGAGAGTGGTTGTGGTACCTTCCGACATATGTCCCGTGCAAGAAGTCGTTCTGTTTTTGCTGTCAATAATAGGCAAGTCAATCATAATTGCATCTTGTTATCGCATTATATTTCATTCCAAACCTAATCACCCAATGAGACTCCCGAGGTCCTCAATTATAATTTCATTGATTACACGATCAAATAATACCTTCCAGTCCTTCTACCGATTCTCAAAAAGAACACACTTCCGCCATCTATTTGCTTCATGACCTTAGCTCTCAACTTACTACACGAATGCCAACGACAACGTTGATAGACAATGGGAGCACTTCGAAATCAAATTACCCTGATCTTTCGTGCTTGAGGTTTCCATATACACTCCCACGCACGCACTGCTGCATGCCTGAAGAAGGGATCATAATTGACTTCCAAAATTTATTCGAGATTATTATTGCAGTGCTTCTTGATCTGGCTTTTGTGGCACATCTCAAAAGATATCTTTCTCATACCTAGTCATACTTAGGAGGCTCTTTAAGCTAAGTGATTGTGAATTCATAATTTCAAGTACCGTCGCTTGCCACTGTCTCTTCACTTCTCGGATCCCCACTGAAAATACTTTGGCTTTCTTCAACTGCGCTTTCATCTTCTGAATCTTCTGTATCACTATCCACCATTACAATCTCTATATTTTCCATACGAGTTATGAACTCTCTGCGCAATTTTCCAATCCATTCTAGCAATTCTTGGTTCTCCATTGGGCTATCAAGAAGCTGTTCGAGTTGCTCTCTTAGTGCATTCAGAAGCTTCCTTCGTTTATCAATCGCTGAAGTCCTAGAAGACTTCTTCCTCGCAGCAGCTTGTGCAATGAGAGTCTTTGATACTTCCTCTGCCACTGTGAGCACTTTTGGAGGTAGATCAACCACACGCGCTAGAGCGAGACCGTAGTGTTGTTCTTTAACACAGCCTTGATCAAGCTTGTAGAGCATTGTCATGGTGGTCGGGTCACTCATGTCAACTGACAAATGGTAGACTTTAACCCCAGGGCGCTCAGACATGATTTGTGCTTATTCTTGTTAGCAAGCATACTCATCAGATCATAACGAGTTTTTTTCGAACCAAGCTCCTTAAAGTGGGTGGCAAACCAGATGAGTGCTCGGCTCTCTGATAATGCTTCTGCAATGCTTAGAGCAATCGCTAGACCATCTCTTGTACTGGTCCCACGACCAAGTTCATCAATTATGGCAAGGCTCTTCTCATCAATATTTCTATAACCATGAGTCAGTAAAATGAAAATGCGAGAAAAATCTGGAATGAACCTAAGGATGAATGCTGTTTCTCTCATTTCAGACGCGAATGTAGAAACGTTTGCTTCGATACTATCGTCCATTGACACGCGAGCAAAAAGTTGATGAATCATTGGAAAAGATGCATAGCTTGCTGGTACGAAACAACCAACTTGCGCCATCACACTCATAAGAGCGACTCCTCTTATGTACGTACTTTTTCCGCTCATGTTACATCCGGTTATAATTTGGAAACGGGATTGCTGCGTAGCGTAATAGTCGTTGGGTACAAATTTGTGTGATGGCACCTAGAGAGAGATGAATTAGTATTTTGAAACGATGTAGATTAAGCCCTACATACCTTGTCCCGAATGGGATGACGTCCAGACTTGATAGCAATGCAATCAGTAATCTCCGGCCTGACGTAGCAATCTTGGTTCGTGGCTAGTTGCCCAAAGGAAGCAATCATATCGAGCATGGCAATACTCTCACACACTTTAAAGAGGTTGGGAATTTCGGTTCGTACATTTTCGAGGAGTTCCTGTATGGTTTTATCGCTTCCCAAGATAACTTCTATGTGAGAATCTTCAATTTTCTGGTTGAGCTTTATCAAATCTAGAGTCTGGCATTCGAGATAGTATTTTCTGCGAAACCGATTAATGAGTACATCTGGTATGGCTCGATCATCAAATTCATTTTCGGAATAGCGAATGTAGTATTTTCGGAGATTATCGAATCTAATTTCCCCTTGAATTTTATAGTTCTCTGCCACCAATATGAGCAAAATTCAGTACATCAGAAGAAGGTAAGCATACGATTGAGTTCTGACACATGCTGATGTACGTCTTCAGTCGCCTCTTTGAAGGTTTGGCGTGCCACATCCAAGAAACCACTGACCCCCGCTTTCACAGCATATGTCCGTTGGTTTCGTAGATCTAGAGGAGTCTTCTGGTATGTAACATCCTCATTTATGACCTCATCAATGAATTGTATTGTAGATTCGACCACTTCTGTACGACAATTATTACGTATCTGAACCAATAGCTCTGATCGAGCACCTGATAGACTCTCAAAGACTGGACCGATTGAATGTGCAAAGGATTTCAACATCAGAATGTTGTTGATATCTTGCTCAGAATTCCAAATACCTGGTACAGTCGGGATGATAATAAGCTACAGAATGTCAGGGGATGTTGGCACAAACAAACAGACTCGGGGGCATACACAAGTAAGCAACTTTTCAATATCAGGAATCAACTTTAAAGCTACAACTTGATTAGTAAGGCACGAAACATGGGAGTATGATTGGACTATGCGTCGACAGGAAGAGCGATGAAACCATTTCCACGTCGAGAGCACACAAACATATGGACGTCGGACTAACCTTGTCTGGTCTGTAAGAACATGTCATCATTTTCCGACAATTCGGCCAATGCGTCGTAACGGGCAGCGAGTAAGGTTGACTGGGTCGAAGGTTGTAAAATATTACTTCTCAACAGTCGTGATCCCATTGGTGTCAGCGTCTCGTTCATGAGTCCAAATAAACAATCTTTTGACTTGGCATTCTGCAAATTCTGGATTAGTTCAAGTGATTGAATGGTAGCAAGATCTATCATCATAGAGTCCTCCGAGGGTTGGTATTTAACTCGCAGAGAGTGAAATGCAAAAGTAAGAGACAGGCTCATGTCAATGTATTTCAATGCCTACATATGTTGTATATGTTAGAAGTTATCACAAAGAGGGGGCAAAGGGCTGCTGTGAAAACTTACAGCAGAAAAGCAGCACACTGAGAAGTAGTTGCCTCCGATAGCCACCTTGATCGCCTCAAGATCTTCTTTGAACGCCAATTGCTGGATGTATTCAATACCAGACGTTTCTGACCAGTAACGACGATCTACTGTAACAATTCTGGCTCCCAATATGTTCTCTTCCACAATTTGATACATCTTAGATTTCGGGTTCGGAGGCCCGGAAGTAGATACAATCAAAATCTGGGTAGGTTCGAAGACCTGCAATTTATGAAGAGTTTTGACATAGAACTGATTGTCGCAGATCTGACTGAGGACTGCTTCGCCAGTTGAAATGTTGACAAATGCTAATCCGACAGTCGGAGATACTCCACGACCTTCACTGACAGCACAAATGATCTGCTGAGACTCACCCCCTCCAAGAATGGAACTTGCTCGTGACCTACGTCCAGTGCTTGGGCGGGCTGTACTAGGACGAGCAGTGCTTGAGCGACGACCATGAGGAGGCAAGGAATACGAATTAGAGTTTGTGTACCCACATGGAGAAGACGTAGAGTTAGCACTGTAAGACGTTGAGGTTGAGGGTCTTGATAATGAAGCCATGCTCAATACCACCTAGCATTCCTTGGAAGTATATGTAACGTCGAATCTGTGGAAGTATCACAAGTTAACAACTAAAGTATTAGTTCGAGTATCAAAGTGGATGGATGGATCGTTCATTGCTGAGATCCAACGACGATATGACTCTTCTTCCCGTATCAACGGAATCAGCTAATTGGATTGTAATTGTAATGAAATAATGAGATGATGAGATGATGAAGTGAAGTGACGATGAATGGATACCACTACTCTAGTATCTTGCGAGAGTTGGAATAGTTTGCATGTGATGATTGTGATGATTGTGATGATAAGAAAAGATTGGCAGGGAATGTGGGGAGAGCACTGGAGATTGCGCAGATCATCTTGATCGGGTTACTGCAGATTTCAATCCTGTGAATGATTGGCTTGTTGATCAGTGACTAATCAAGTCCTTATCGATGATAAGCTAACAAGGCTAGCCCCACAAAATCTTTTTGAAAAAAAGTTGAATCAAGACGCAAGAATTCACTTTTAGTCTTGTTAGCGTAATAATCCTTGATGACTATAAATTTCCAGAAATATCCCCGCAAAGAACCTTTCCTCTTTTAATATCTACATCCTCTCCATCAGAACTTGCGAAGAGGCAAGTCTGTTCTTACTTTACAACTCTTTGGAAATACATCATCGATCAGACTGTTCCCTCTCCACCATGTCGACCCAACTCCCACCCCCAAGCAAAAGGCAGAGAACGGATGCTTTCGAGAGATCGAGGGCGCAACAAGACATCGAGGAAATACCCAGTGACGCAGGAAGTCTTCGAATCCAGTTCTTCGACGAGACTACAGGTCTTCCTATCGGAAATGGGCCAGTTCTTGTACCAGTCGCAAACGCAGACCCAAAGAATCTGGAGCTATTGTTGAATACTCTTTTAGGACATGTAAGTTTACTATTTTTCAAGAATACTATGGAAACTCTCGGCCTATGATTGTTTCTGTATCTTACAGACAATCAAAAGGCTGTCATTGTTGGCTTCGATTATGGACATTCAAACCTTACGGTTTCTCACAAATATTTTGGAGATTGAAAGTTTTTGATTGTTCACAAATATTCTGAAGAATGAAAGTTTTTGATTGTTCATAAATATCCTGAAGATTGAAAGCTTTTGATTGTTCACAAATATCCTGAAGATTGAAGAATTATCATTGTTCACAACGGTTTTGAATCTTTAGAGCTAACAATTATCCCAGGACTCTTCAGAGTATATTCCATACAGATTTACCCTACCCGTATCAGACAAGAAGTCCGCAGAGAAGATTACAACCGCCTACCCTACTGAAGTCTACAAAACCTTGATAAAACCGGGTCTAATAAGTACCGAAGAGACCCAAAATATTTCAGCAGCACCACAAGCTGTATTTAAAGTCCAATCAGTTTCGAGATGCGCTTCCACCATTCCCGGCCACGGCGAATCCATTTTAGTCGCACAATTTTCTCCAAGGTCCTCCTCCAGAATGGTCACTGGTAGCGGAGACAACACGGCACGTATCTGGGACTGCGATACAGGAACCCCGGTACACACGTTAAAGGGGCACACAAGTTGGGTATTGGCTGTTAGTTGGTCGCCGGATGAGTCGAGGATTGCGACGGGTAGTATGGACAACACTGTCAGGATATGGGATCCTAAAACCGGAAAGCAATTAGGCAGACCAATGAAGGGACACTCAAAATGGGTCACAAATCTTGCTTGGGAGCCGTATCACGTTCAAAAACCGGGAGAACCTAGACTCGCCTCATCCTCTAAAGATTCTACTGTTAGAGTATGGTCGACTAATCAACAGACGATAGAATTGGTCTTAACTGGACACAGAGACGCAGTATCATGTGTTAAATGGGGAGGAACTGGATTTATATATACCGCATCTCGCGATAAGACTGTCAAAGTCTGGAATGCAAAGGACGGAACTCTCGCACACTCTCTTAATGCTCATGCGCACTGGGTCAACCATCTCGCACTATCGACAGAATTTGTCACGCGAACCGGCTACTTCGACCACACTGGCAAGGTCCCTGCAACAGAGGAGGAAAAGGTCAAGAAAGCAGAGGAGCGTTTCCTCAAAGCCTCCCGAATTCAGGGTGAAGTCGTGGAACGCCTTGTCACAGCCAGTGACGATTTCACCATGTATCTCTGGGAACCTTCTAAGCAAACGAAGCCTATAGCACGAATGTTAGGTCATCAAAAACAAGTGAACCATGTAGCTTTCTCACCCGATGGACTACTCATTGCCTCCTCTGGTTTCGACAACCATACCAAGGTCTGGAACGCCCGTGATGGAAAGTTCATCAATACATTGAGAGGTCATGTTGCACCCGTCTACCAATGCGCTTTTAGCTCTGATTCTAGGCTATTAGTGACATGTAGTAAGGATACAACACTGAAAGTATGGGACATGGCAACCCACAAGTTAGCTAAAGGTATGTTTACATCACAATGTTCCAATTTAAGTTCGACATTCAAATGTACATAAAAGCTGACACAATGATCACAGATTTACCTGGCCATAAAGACGAAGTTTATGCCGTAGACTGGAGCCCGGATGGAGAAAAAGTGGGCAGTGGTGGAGCAGATAAGGCAGTGCGCCTTTGGAGACATTAATAAGATATGTAGTAATACAAATATAATTGCTGGCCTGGGAGCTCATTCGATTGTCAAATTCGAATTGGGACATTGAAAACGTTGAAAAGGACTTGAGCTCAAGGTTGTGGCTGGAAAAGGAAAGGACTAGCTGGAGGTACTCAATGGCCGGAGTCTTTGGAGACTACCTAATTATTCAATTGTCAAATTTCGACAGGGACAATCAAAGTACCTGAACCGTTAGGCCTCAAACAAGAAATTGTTAACTCGATAATCAGATTTTAATGTGCCAAATACCTATCTCGTACAACTCATGCAAGCCAATAATTGATACATTTTTTTTTCCTTATGTTACTTATTCCCTAACAAACATTCCTGCCATTCCCATTCCGGTACCAATACACATACTGACAACACCCACCTGTTGATCTCTTCTCCTCAACTCTGCCAACAAACCTGCCACCATTCTTGCTCCAGTAGCACCCAATGGATGACCCAATGCAATGGCTCCTCCCTTTGGATTCACATCGCCCTTCTCATATGCACCCATCAATCCCAATTCCCTCACACAATAGATGGCTTGACTAGCAAATGCCTCGTTAATCTCCCATACATTGACCTCTTCCTTTTGAATGCCAGCTTGCTCCATCAACTTTGGAATTGCGAGCGCAGGTCCGATTCCCATTTCATCTGGACGACATCCAGCTATTGCTGTACCGGCCCATTTACCAATAATCGAAGAAGATAATCCAAGCGAGGTAGCAGTGCTACGACGCATCATCAATGTAGCTGCTGCACCATCAGAAATCTGCGACGAGTTACCCGCAGTCGAAGCACCATCCTCCTTGAACGCAGGCTTTAACTTCTGCATGCTCTCCAACGTAGCACCCTTTCTAATCCCATCATCTTTTGTAACAGTAACTTCCTTAGGTTCTCCTACTTTCACGCCTCCTTTACCAGTCTCCTGCCACATGGTAGTAACCGGCACGATTTCCTCATCAAACCACCCCTTCTCCTGTGCCTCCGCCGCACGACGATGACTCTCCACCGCCAACTTATCCTGTTCTTCTCTGCCAACTCCATATCTACTCGCTACATTCTCGCTCGTCAGACCCATTGGCATAATGCAATCCTTCGTATCTCTCTCCGCATCCTTCAGCTCCGGCCACAAATCCACAGGAATAGCTTTCGAACCATAATTCCTCGTCATACTTTCCATTCCGCCTCCAACACCGATATTAATCCCGCCCGTCGCAATCGAATTGGCGATATTGGTAATAGCCTGCAATCCCGAACTGCACGCGCGGTTGGTCGTCGAAAACGAGGTGCGGGTATCGTAGCCCGCGTGATTCATCGCCATACGACCGGCTTTCGAGCCGCCGAGCTCAGAGAGAACAACACCGACGCATACGTCGTCGATGAGAGCGGGGTCGAGAGAGGGATTGGCAGAGAGGGTGGCTTTGAGGACGCTGTGTAAGAGTTGTTCGGGGTAGGCGGAGGAGAGCTGTCCTTTGTAGGAACGGGTTATGGGGGTGCGGAGGGAAGAGAGAATTACGATGTCTGAGGGGTCTTTCTTGAGGATCTGCGAGAGACCTCTGCGAAGAGGTCCGGTTGACATATTGGTTTGTAAATTGGGGGGAGATTGGGATGGAGGGGTAGTTAATTCTTGACGATTTGGTGTCAATTGAACGGTTTCCTGTCTCAATTAACCACGACAAGTATGCGAAATACTGTAATGATAGAAGAAGAGAATATAAATAGAAGGAAATAAAAAATCAGTAACTTACAGCAAAACTTACCCCATTCATTGATTAATATGTTTCCTGGGGAAGAGAACATCGGCATTGAAGTTCGGGGAGATGTAATGTGTGGAGAGTCCGACGTCTGGCCCAGCCAATCACAAACGAGTAGCCGCTTAAGACCTTATCCGCGATTTTCTGCTCTTTAAGACAACTTACTCGAGCATCAGAAAATTGTGGTCAGTTGGAACTCAGAAGATGTTCAAAAGCCAAGTCTGCGGTGGTAACACAACAGATATATTTACAATGTACTAAGGCTCTATTCAAATAGGAAGATTGCATTGTCTCAGAATCTCAAACCAGGGTTCGTCTGACACTTCTGCACTCCGCCACAGGGGAATGTTATGAGTGTCGTATTTTAGGATCGATGATAGACAAATCGAAACTGGAACGTGGTCTCTTCCTCTTCTTCAACAGCACTGCTGGAAAATCATGACGAAATATAATGACCTGTGTTCCAATTTGGTTCAGAGATGCTGGTTATAGAATGGATAAATTCAAAGCAAAGAAAACGGTATCATTTGCCTTGCTCCTTCAACGCTCCCATGGTATTTAAATTTAGTTGTACATGAAACATATGAGATAAATTAGCCACCAGCATATTTATCATACAATGGTGCCGCACTCCTCCCGCCCCCTCACAAATATATGAACATATGAAAGGAAAACTTCAGCAACCAGGCAAGTTTTCTCCTATCCAAAGCACGACCATAAGCGAGATCATCCCATCTCCCAAAATTTAGCTCCATCATCAACAACGACTAAGCCTCAAAGCCAATTTCCCTCCTGGAATTGAAGCCGCCGGTTGGCTCACACAGATCCAACCACATGGTTCCGGTTTTCAATGGGCAGGAACGGGTGGCGGTTTGATCGGGGGTGTTGTACGCATCCTTGCATAGAGCACCTGCAGGGCACTTGAGCTTCACGCAAGTTCCTGATCCGCTGCCAGTACCAGATGGGGTAACTTTCACGTTATCATTCATGAAAGGAGTTCCAACCAGCCCAGCCCCGGAACCGTCCAAATCGCTGAGATCCCAGTAAAGGGCAGAGTATTGGCCAGTTGTCCAAGCATATTCGAATTGAAGAACCGAAGGGGTGGTTTTCCAGTTGGATGTCTTGGCGATCTTGATTGATGTTCCGTGTCCATCGGTGTCCCATGGAAGGGTAAGGGTGCTGCTAGATCCCTTGCCTGCTTTGATGATCCAAGGGCTAGCATTGGAAGCAGTGGAACAAGCTCCATTAGTACCGGCATTGCAACCTCCATTGTTTGACTTGTAGAGGTATACATCTGTGGAGCACCTAGACGCATGTTAGCAATAATTTGGATGATATTGAAAGTACGTATACTGACCAGTTGTTGATAATGAGCGAAGCAGATGCCGTTGAGGCGAGGGCAGCGAAAGCTGACAAAGCAAAGGAGTAATGCATTTTGTAAATATATGTGTGTTTTTTGAAACAGAAAAGAATGTGGGTAGGACTAAGCCCGAAAACAGGGAATGACGATAAGCTAAAAAGCTTTTGAAGTATTGAAAACTGGAAATGGAGAAACTTGATGATGCAAGAAAAACATCTTCGGTGAAGAAACTCGAGAATATATATATAGAGATAGGACTTACTATGAAGAACTTGCAGAAAATCAGCCAAAGAGGATCTTACGAACGAGTTTCCATACATGCTCGGCATGGTGGCTCAGTGTATAAGGAGGAGTGAGCAAAATTGTGCACTCCTCAAATAACGGAAGATGTGATCCTGCCAAACATAATTTTTACGGCAGAATAGCTTCTTAGACACGTTTCGCATGCCGTTAATGTAAGTTTGAAATTCTCGAATTTTACTGGGTGTGATTTCGCAGGATGAGGATGACATACCTGGAAAAATCATGTTCGCTTCTTGTGGTAAGTGTCTCCTTTTGGGCGTAGATGTAACATCAGCTGACACGAAATTGGGCCAAGTTCAGCTCAAGGGCTGCGCATTGTTTCTTGAAATGGGTTCCTGGTCAGATTGACGAGTGTTTTGAGATTGAATTTTGTCAGTCTTACTTATTGGTATCGGGGTAATTATACTTTGCTGGGGTAAAGCTACTTCCGTGCTTGCCATGTGCAGATAAATTTATCTCCAATTCCTAGTAAATTCTGATGGGCATCTTGATTTAGAATCAAACATATAGCTGTTCTTCGAAGGGTGGAGAAAATCCAAAGAGTAATTTTGAATCTTTGAAACTTTGCTTGCTCTAACCTGGAGATCAGCGAACCCGGGCACAGATTGATCATTGACACCCCAAGGATGATTAACCTTAAACTCTTCTTTGCAGGAAGAAAGATAGTTGCAGCCATACATTCCTTGTGCTCAGCGGAGATTGCCTCCTCTAAAAGATCTTGTCGTAGATTTACGTACGTGGATTGCAGTCCATAATGGTATCAGGACTGAGAGGCCCGTGATGCTGCAAAGTCATGCCCTGTCCCTCTTAACGATAACGATACCTGCCGCAAGCCAAAATAGCTTTTCCATCCACACCTTCCTGTATCAGAATGTTACGGAGTTTCAAATCATTCACCGTTGGAGAACCTCCAGATCTTTGCTCCTGATATTATCGTGGAGTAAAGGCACCGTGAATCCATTACTCGGAGTATATCGCCATTTATGACAGTCTCCATTGTTTCCCTTGTCATACTACCATAAAAATAGCATATTCCAAAGATTTGTGAGGCCTGACATCTCTCTGAAGGAATGACAGATGTATTGCAGAAGCCGCAGTCGGTAAAGGAAAGATATGTTTGAAGACAAATTGAAGACTGGCTGGGTTCCAAATCCCCTGTTAGCAATGATGCTCTAAATATGGGCGAGGCGAGATTGTGGAGTGTTTTTGTACTGGTATCAATTTGAAGCCAAATGAGCAATCAATTGCCAGCTCCCACGAGACTTAGCATCGCATAAAGCCTACCCAACCAAGACTTTTGAAACCTAATCATGTAAGAACATTGGGCAATGATACTACTTAGTATCCATCTTGCTGGGGAAAAAATGAATTCCTAGACCCCGGGTTCGAATGCACTCAAATAACAGGCGAGATAATGGCATGCTTTGAACGTACAAAGATTCGAGATGTCATTTCCAACGAAATGCGCAAATTAGTTGCATTATTTCTCATTGCCGATAGCATGTTCAAATTCATCACTTGATGTTTTACCAAAGCAGTTCAGACATGTGAACAACTCCCTAAGCTCGCCTGCACAGATGTTTGCAAACTCCACCACGCTCTTGGCAGTTGATACATGGCGTATCTAATTATTCTCAGTGTGTTGAATCCATCGAGCTAATCCGTCACTGAGAATATAATTCGACCAGTGTTTATCGACATGTGTGAGCACAATTTAAAGACTTCTAGTACTGCTGAAGACAGAGAGGTGGGTGTTGTGGTGAAAATGGCTCAGAACGGTTACTCGATTTGCTAGCTTCGATCAATACACAAGCACAAGACGCTGGATCTAATGGATCGGATCTCAAGTTTAGCAAGTGGCAAGAATTGAAAGCGTGTTGCGCCTTACTTATGCCTGGCCCGCAGGTCTTGAGTGTGAGAAATGTAGCATATACCTACCTAGCATTACCTAAGTAGTCTAAACGTCATAGAGTGAGTGTATTGCAATTGCTCTTTCATACATTTTCCGAATACGACAATTCCGGACCCATTGAAGCAGTGGACAACCAATAACATGCTCCATTCATCCTATATCACATGACATTGAACACTCTGCAGGACCAGTGCAGGTAGATACTCAGTCATAGCCGCGCCAGGATCTGCTTGGAGCCGCTCTTGACTACATACTCAGGTTGAGTCTGTTATGCACGCACGACGTCGGCTTCCAAACAATTCATGTAATGTAATGAATGTAATGTGATGGTAATGTTGATGGCTTTATATGGGTTCAAAGTATATAAACGATATAAAATATATAAAACGTGATTAAGACGATAAAAACAAGAATGCATAGCTCCAACTCGGTATATATTGAAGATATACGGTAATAAATTTACCTAGGTAATTGAATCCCAATACCAATAATTGGTCGGGACCCGGCTACAAGTTTACGGGAATAACCTCACCCGCTTTTTTCCGTTTTTTGATTTGAATAAAACAATTTCTGATTGGTTCATCAGGTGAGGTAAGCGACTTTCGTCGGTATTTCGGTTCAAGAGCAGTTTCGCCTTCTCCACAACTTCTTAAATGCAATTGACAACTTTGTTCGTAATTTTGTCTTGATCCTTTGACATTTCAAACAAGGGCTCTCTCTCTCTCTATCTTACCATTGATACATACAACATTGTAATAATACTGAACTACCTTTCGAACCTATTCACCTTATCCAATTGATCCTGATATTCCAACTCCACTCCTCCATAATGGCTTCTCTCCGCACAAGTGCCCGCAGTGCACGCGCGATATTCGCCGCAGCACGACCAGCTTTCAGAACACAGATGCGAACGATGGCATCAGTCGACAGCTCAGCACCTCCAAGTCCTACCGTTTCTCCATCTCGTCCTGTGGAATCTGCTTCCAAGACTTCCACTGTCAAGGAACCTGCTGCCGACTCGGAGTCTTTGATCAAGACATTCAACATTTACAGATGGAACCCAGATGAGCCAACCAGCAAGCCCCGCATGCAATCGTATACCTTGGATCTCAACAAGACTGGACCTATGATGTTGGATGCGCTTATTAGAATCAAGAATGAGGTCGACCCTACCCTTACATTCAGAAGATCCTGCAGAGAAGGTATCTGCGGTAGTTGTGCAATGAACATTGATGGAGTAAACACATTGGCTTGTTTGTGTACGTTAATCATCCATTCGATATTGAAACACATTTGCTGACCATCAATTTCTACAGGCCGCATTCCAAGAGACGCTAAGCACGAAACGAAGATCTACCCACTACCCCACACCTATGTCGTCAAGGATATTGTTCCAGATTTGACACAATTCTACAAGCAATACAAGTCCATTAAGCCATATCTTCAACACACCGACCCAGCACCAGAAGGAAAAGAATACTTACAATCCAAGGAGGACCGTAAGAAGCTTGATGGTCTTTACGAATGTATTCTCTGCGCATGCTGCTCGACATCTTGCCCTTCCTACTGGTGGAACAGTGAGGAGTACTTGGGACCAGCTATTTTGTTGCAAAGTTACAGATGGCTTGCAGATTCCCGTGATCAGAAGAAGGAAGAACGTAAGGCAGCTTTGGATAACAGCATGAGTTTGTACAGATGTCACACCATTCTCAACTGCTCGAGGACATGTCCGAAGGGATTGAACCCTGGTTTGGCGATTGCGGAGATTAAGAAGGAAATGGCTTTTTAAGAAGTCTAAAATGATATCAATGCGGGGGGGACATGATGAAGTAGCATTTCAGCAATGGGTTGTGGTGTTTTGGACGGTTATTGCTAAGTCTATTTGTGTAGATAGGAAGTACAACATGAATTCATCAGCACAACTTTGGTTTTCCTTTTCAATCTACGACTGTTTGAAGATGACTAGGCCCTATCCGTTGGAACATAACTGCTACTTCATCCATTGTGAAAACATGCGCACTGTCTTTTTTGGGAAATTGCAGACTTCAATTATTGACTGTCAAGTCTGGATATTTTTCTCTTCATATTGAAATTTACTCATTTCATGGAGACTATTCAGCGGAAAGAGCACTGAAGGAAATGATTGTGAAGAGGACCCATGGATATGCCACGAAGTATGATAATGAAGGGTAAAATTCATCTTTATTGTGACTATTCCTAATAAGATATATCAGGAGTTCCTATTTTAGTCATGATGGACTTTAGATATCTGTATAGATTGTAGATGACCCCCCTGTGACTGCGTATCGTTTGTCTGTCTGGTGTATTTTTCTTCTCATGCTTGTATGTATGTTGTATGTTAGTCATAGTACAGGAAGAGACTATCATCTGCTACCCTGTGGTCTCCGCCGTCCACGGGATGTTTTTACAAACATTCTTACCTTCACTTACCTCCCTATATAAGTCTAGAATCACTTAGTTCGGAATGTATCAAAATTTGAATAGCAACCGAGACTCTGCTAATCGCCACCTACGCAGCACTTCTCGATAGACAGTGTACAGGAATTCTACGATGACCAAAGTAACAATCAGATTCACGCAAGTGGACGATCCTTCCCCGCCTGCAACCCTAGATTCGCAAGAATCATGGGATACACAGCGCGACTTGCCGTTTGTCCACCCCGATGATAGCCCCGCCGAAATCCTATGGAATTTCGTTGCGCAACTGATTGCAGAAAAACACGATTGCAGCGCGACGAGTGTCCTGATTCAAAGTATTGCCGTTACGTATTGGGTGGGGAGACTTGGGATGGCAGAGTGTCGGTTTGTTGATGCGGGGGCGTTGGGATTGAAATTGAAGGAGTTGGGGGGAGGGGCTTCGATGGTGGAGGTTTTGCATGTGGTTTATGGGATTGCTGGATCGTGAGATTTGGTAGTCGGGAGGGGGGTGGAGGATCTGTTGTGATGGGATGGGATCATAGCCCAAGTCTTACAGTCTTTCTACGCTATTCTGCGCAGTCGGATCTATCTCTGTTGGACATATGTACGGAGGCTTGGGATCTTGATGATGTTTATTGCTATACTTCGCTTAATGCCAATCTTCTTTAGCTCATAAGGTAAGATTCCCTTGTGTGTTCGAATTCGATTTCAAGAAGGGAGTTTTGTTGAGTCGTAGATGGTATGTCCTCAATGGTTGTGGAAATTTAGTCCATCATTGATCGTCTCCTATGAGTAAAGCAAATGAAATGGTGAAAATGCGAGATATTCATTGAAGCCAGGGTTGAAAGGCATGGAAAGCGGTGGGATTTTCCAAACAACCATTGACATCGAAATGTTGCTCTGCTTTTCATCTCCTAAGAATAGGTGAGTTCTTTAATCTCTCAAGCTAATAACTTGACCATATAAATGGGCTCCCCATCTCCATAAGTTCCAACATCATACACTGACCAGATCTACAATCTTGAAGCAAGAAAACCACACATTGCCAAACTTTCATCATGTCTATGGTCCTAGTAAGATTCGCTCGGCTCCCCACGCCACCTATGACTGTCAATCCAAGCAACGCCCGCGACTACGAACCCTGGTACGAAGCCATCCAGACCATATGGAATCCCTCTGTAACCGAAGCGTGGAACGCCCTCTCCAACAGCATCGAGTCTTCCATCCGCAACCACTACCGCCACTACGAGTACTGGAACTACAAGATCTGCAAGATAGAAATCAAGTGGAAGCTGGGCGCCGGCGAGAACGCCCCGCAGGTACTCTACGAGTATGGGGTTAACGATGAGTATTTGGAAGTGCATAAGGGACAGCATGAGAGGATTGTGACGGCGTTGACGCTGCAGAAGAGGGAGAGTGGAGATTTTATGTGTGTGACGTATCAGGCGGGGTCGTCGAGTCAGGGGCAGATGGGGACTGTTTCTTTCATGGAGTTGGAGAACGCTTGAGGGGGGGGGATTGGGAGGTTTATTGTCGGGTTTTGGTGAAGCCTGGAGGTGGAGGTGGGATGTGGGGGTATTGTGGAGGTTGGAGGGGAGGAGATTGGTTAATATTGCGTATTAGATGACTTCGTGGAATGAATCAGAATACAAGATACTTTGCGGATATGTAGGCACAAGTAATGGGGGAGGGAAGTGTACTGCGGCCCACGAATATATCATCAATCACTTGGCACTAGAGGAATGGTTTAGGAAAAGAGGAATGTATCGGTCATTATAGGAGGTGGACAACATGACCAGTGCACTCTCTTTTGAATTGGTGAACTCTGAACAAGCGAAATTTGTTTGAAGGGGTTCTTTTGCAGTGATCGGCAATATATTCATACTACCTTCCTCCTTTAGTCAAATAAACAGTTGAATGGATTCTGATTTCACGGTTGTGTTTCACATAATGACTTGCATGAATAAACATTACTCGTGATGCAAACATCTTTGCGATGGATGAATTATTGGATTAAAGACAACAGTGATGTATTTTTTGTTGTGAAGGAGCAAACAGTATAGCAATTCATGTGGATTTTTCAACCCAAAATAATTTTTGTATTTTATATTCACTTTCAAATCTTTCAACACACGCTAACGCTGTCGCGGATGAATTGAGCATCTCATTTGGTCTGGGAGATGGCAACACAACTCTAAAATAAATCAAATGCAACCCACCATTGAATCTCTGCATCTTCGAGAGATATTATAACCCTTTGAACAAAATCCCATCTTCCTGAAAGGACTTGATACCCCAAAGATGTTGGATATCAAAATCATGAAGATGGATTATTACTGCAATCTAAACCGCCAAAAACATACTCTGAAGCAACGAGTAACTTTGTAACATATGGAATACGTCAGAAAGGACTGTGACATTTTTGATAAAGTTTCCTTGCTCTTCTTTGACTTTGCATTCATGGAAAATGACTTGGGTTAGAGGACAGTGAGTTCAAGAAGAGTCAACCTGGTTTCAGACCTGCCTATTCTCGATAGACGGCGATAATATAAATTTGCTGAATTCGATCCTTTCCACAATTGGGGACCGTTGCGTTGCTTGTAATATCAACAACATCGCACTTCGGGGGGTCGGGGTTGGTTGGCAACTTCGTGGACAGGAAGTTAGACAACCTTTGGTAGGAATGAATCATAACCGCGTGGTGGAAATTGATAGTATTAGGCATAGACTGCGGACTGCATTGACCCTGATGTGTCTCATAGGCTTTGTCGAACATTTCCATATTTCGTATGAACACATAGCTCCTCCAGTGGTCAATAATTAAGAACATTGTGGCCTAGCATAGGACTTTAGGTTGAGGCTGTCTCGCAGAAAGTGGGGTGGAGAATGATATGAATCTAGAGAAATTAAATCTACTTGTGGTCTGATATGGATCATAGTGAAGCTGTTTTTATTCACGCAACACAACATTTGGTACTCCGACATCCTATATTTGGATTTGTACAATCAGCCCCTATGGAAATTGGACCGTTATGTCTGTCCGAGGTTTTGATATCTCCCAATTCATCTTTCAGCTAATTAAGCATGCCATCGCAGCATTCTACTCCACAAGCAGAAGAGGTGAAGCCCACAGAACAAACAAGAACAAAATATCCAATTGAAAGTAGTGCGAATTCTTTCGGTGTCTATATTCGATGTTGGCAATGTGATATCAGAGGTCCAAAGGGGAAGATTCGATTTTGGCAATAAGATATCAGAGGTCCAAAGAGGAACGATTCATCACTTGAAAAGACTGCCATTTAAGACATGTGTATCCGGATGAACCAGACCCTTGTCTGTGGTAATTGACTCTCACTTGAGACTTCTATGTATGGCATACAGAATTGACATAGAGTGGAAAAATGTAAGAAGAGAAATAAGTCAGACACGCCAGATGTATACTTAAGAACTGATGGCACGAATACATTTCCTACCAAGTTCAATCTTTCCAACAGGACACCCTTATATGGGTAAATTCAGAAAGAGGTTTAAACTCCCCTCCATATAACCATCAAAACATGAGCAGAATGTGGCATGCAAAGAGTAATTGGCATCCCGCATTTATCCAAGTTGTCAGATATCCGTTGGCGAACTTGAAACAAAATTCAACATCAAAGACATTAATTTGCTCTATTCTTACAGACCCGGATATTAGACCTCGTGTTGTTCACCTCAAACCCAAAAGTCCAAGGATATCATGCTTGTGAAAGAACGCCCGATTCCGCTTTCCGAATACATCTAGAGTAATTATCAGTAAGGTTTCTAGAAAATCATATTTGATGTTACTATTGAAGAACCAAATAGAACTTACACATTGGAACACTTAGCAGACAAATGCCAACCTGGATACTTGAAATGATCATAAAGGTATCATAAACGCCATTCTTAACAAGCCACTCGTATCCACTCCATGTGAGGCCAAAACTGAAGAAGTTCTTAAATATCAAAAGGCAAGTAAATGCTTCGATAGCGATGTCCCCTATATCAATTGTCAGAATCATGCATATCAGATTAGGGAAGGATAAATAAAAATGGGAAAACAAACTGTGCGCATCAACAATATAAAGAGAACTAAACATGTTAGCTAATCTATTCTGCAAGATTTAAAGCGCGGCAGAACAAGCTCACCTAGCCACAGCTCCAATGACCATTCCCATAACCTCTAAGCCAAAGAAGAAAATTGGCCAAAACCAGCCAAAATCCACTGGTCTATTTGCCGTAATCCCAAATCCATATAGCCCCGCGCACCCAAAGATAAACTGTGGAATCACCAATAAGATTCTGAATTCTGGCTCGTATATACCCTTGTTCTTTCTCGTCATATATTTGGCACTCCAATCAGAGAGAACACCCGCGACAATGAAGCCAAGAATCGCGCCGACGAACGCACCCGTATATGCATAACCAGTTTTGACTTCGTCCCAGAAAAGAGGAGGGCCAAGAAAGATTGCCGCAAGAATGATTCCAATGAAGACGGTCCAGCCAATAAGGGCCCCTTGAATAAGACAGGCCCAAAAGATTGCTGGTTGAAAAAACAGAGGGAATGGGCGCAAACAAAGTTTCCAGAAACTTTCATCGGAGTAGCGACCACTAAATGGCATGAGAGTGCTCCTGTAATTCGATTTACCTTTGCCATATGAAATGTGCGTTCTAGGTTTATCATGCGGGGACAAGCTACCATTACTATTTGCTGTGACGGTGGTTTCTGTCGTATTAGGTCCCCGAAGTATTTGTTCTAATTCATGACCTGGTTTCAATATAAATTGGTCTATTTCATCGGTAGATGCCAGATCGGTGTCAAAATGAAGAGGTCGTACATATGCGGTTTCGGGAACGAAAAAGATCACAAGTGGAAGACAAACTCCAACGAAGATAGCGACAAAGTAGAACGACCATGGCCAACCAATTGTATGGGTAATTTTACCAACTAGAATTGGTGTAAAGAAGCAACCACCAAACACTGCAAGGTTAGTCAAAGCCATACGTTTACCACGTTCATGAACAAAATATATATCGCCAACGGTAGCGTTGACTAAAGCTTCGAAGGGAGCTGTTCCTATCCCTTGGAATATCCTTGCCCAAACCAGACTTGCGTAAGATTTGGAAGCACCTCCCCAAGCACTTGAGAAAATCAAGATGACCGTCCCAAGAAGGAATTGATGTCTCTTGCCCCATATTCTAGCCGACGGTATGTAGAAGATTCCAACAGCTCCTACGCCCATCAGATAGTACCCCGTCAGAATCGCAATCTCTGTAAATGGTAACTCGAAATGCAATGACAGAGTTAGGGTATTCGCAGCGAGGATAGGACCCAGACAGGTTGCGAATATCGAAACGACTGAGAGGACCAGGAGGATAACATCGCGCTTCCATAATGGCCAATTCTAAATACCATTGAAGGAATCAGTAAGAGACATGTCTCCCCGTGTTGGATAGAAGACTATACCAGTGGATCCCTGGGGTCATCGCTGGGTTGCGGGACGAGAATGATAGGAACAGGACCCGATGTATCACACTTCAAGCCGGCAGATGCAGCACTTGCGACTTGGGGTCTTTCCGGGTCATCAAAATATCTAGTGGTGCCTTGGAACAATCAGTACAAAGCAAATTTCCGATCCAAAAAGGGAGAAATCCTACCAGGAACATGTTCCATCCTATCCTCTAGAATAAGCATCCCCATCTTTGATAGATAAGAAAGGTCTCTTGTTCATGAATGTAAGTCCAGCAGCGAAATGGTTTGTACTGGTTGGGCTTAGTGATGGGAAGTCCTTCCGTCCTACTCTCGCGATAATTTGGTATCCATTCCTAGATACTTTGGTTGTGCTTACGGACAAGGCTGGAATTGGAAATGCGATAGGTGATACGATTATAACTTATTATTATTGGGGGTTCATGGGAGATGTTTGGGGCTAGTGCTGTGGCTAAAATGGTTATCGGCTAATGAGATTATTCATTCGGTAGAGCTGGACTGGAGAACCTAGCACGTGCCTAGGTAGTAAGCTTAAGATCAATTGATATTATGATCAGCCAAAAAAGGGTCAGAGTGGCTCGAGAATGCTTGCGGGGAACCTTGAACATGGATGGGGTTGTCATCCCTACCTAGGTAGTAGGTATAGCTAAGCTCCCAAGTTACTTTCCAGCTATTCAGGTGGACAAAGGACAAGAAAGAAAAGGAAGAGGAAAAGTGCATTGCTTGGTAGATAGATAGATAGATAGATAGGGGGGTGATCTAATAGAAAATCAATGGTAAACAAAAACAGAACTAATTATACCGTTAATATCGACAATATCTATGCAATTTGGCTATTTGAATAGACACTGTCTTGAAGAATTTAGGAGCAATTGTTAAAGGGTATATTTGGAATGAGACCTATCAACAAGATGTGAAAGCAATGATTCACTTACTACCGGTAGTCTGTTGCATGGGTAGACTCAATATTGACCACAAATAGAAAAGACTACCTACTATCTATTCACCTAGCAGGTAGCTATCTAGTACAGATAAGGCAGTATTGATATAGCTGGAGAGCTACTCATTCAAGTCTTGCAATTACCATCTTATCTTGTTAGCGAGGTACTTATACTTTGCCAAAACTTTATATAAACTTTAGGGTTGTATATGAAAAATACGAACCTAGAGCCAGGAGATACTGGTAATTGAAAGTTCAACCGTGATGACCTTCATTTCTTAATTTTCTATTTATCCGTTCAACAATAAGAAAAGAAATCAGTTAACTCGTGAATTCCTCAGTATAGCTGCGATTGTCATTTTGAGTTTGTTGTACAAAAAGGTTTTAGCAGGGGCGGTGCCGATGCCAATGTTGCTTCCCAGACGCGAACTGCAAGTCGTGCCAATCGCGAAATGGTATGGTGGTGGCTTGCACAACTTGTACTCTGTATGGCTTGATTTTATTTAAACCTGAATGCTACCTCCTCTTTGAGAGAGAGACAGTGATATTCAGAGTTCTCTTGAATCCCAAGGTCATCCATCTTTCAACCCAGTCTGCGCCAATTTACTCTCATTTTGCCAAACCAACTCAATCAATTCGACAACTCCCTCATTGAACCATCTATCGTCGTCCCTTTTCGAAAACATGAAGATTAATTCCGTCGTGATTGCCATCACCACAGTGCTCGCAGGTTTCACCTCGGCACAGAATGGACTCCCAACCTGTGCAGTGAGTTTGGATAAGCTTTCCTTCCCATCGTTATACCAATCGCCCTTATCTCTGGTTCAGCCGTGTGTCAATATGTTGTGCATCATGAAGCCAGCTTACTGATATCAATATTCCATGTAGCAATCGTGTGTTACCCAGTACACGACGGGCTCTCAAATCGCTGGTTGCGCCAGCCTCGACATCGCCTGCATTTGCTCAAACTCTTCATTCCTGAGTGGCATCGCGTGTTGCTTGGCTGACGCTTGTGATTCCGAGGATGAGCAGACTGCAGTTGCTTATGCCCAGAATCTATGTAGAACTTCGGGCGTAACCAATTTACCATCAGTAGTGTCGTGCGTATCGTCCGCTAGCTCAACCTCGTCCGGCGCAACAAGCAGTGCGACTGGAGCGACAGCCACAACAACTTCAGGTTCAACTACAGCTTCGGGAACGGGCACAAGTTCGTCAAATACAGCAACTGGATCCTCGACTTCTGCGTCAGCTTCTGCCACAAGTAACGCGGGACTTCAAAAGGAAATTGGTGCTGGAGCTGGCTTGCTTGGTGGATTGGCAGTCATAGTCGGTTTGTTGTAAGAGATTACACAGCATATGACAAAGGGGTGTGGGCGGGATTGCTTCTGATTCTGCAAGCATGATACGTTGACATACGGGGTCAAATCTAGGTTTGTGGAGCATAGTCCGGTGGTTTTGTTATATTAAATAATTGGTACCTGAGACCAAAGCACCTGCTTCTCGGAAGACAACTGGGGCTTTTCAGGGATAGGAAGAAGGCTGCCGAGTTAGTTCACTTCTAGTTTTCCACACATAATACATTATTTCCATGCTTCCAGAAGCTGAATGAATGAATAATGCTCATGTCAATTCGCAAAAGAAAGAGCGACTGTCCCTTCAAGGTTCTCGAAACATGATCACGGATAGTGAAATTTTGAGATCGTCTAGATAAATCTCCTGTAGCTTTCGGAATTCTCCGCCGCTCTTCCCGACATTGACATCGAGATTCAAATCTCTTACATAAGTAGGGCACTTTCAATGTTCTAACTTCTCACTTCAAAACCCGGAAGTTCGTTGCACCTTGCAATGCTAGGATTAGATTCTTCAACCAGACCGGCGGGTCCATAATATCAGTCGTTCGAACGGCTTCTTTACCGAAATGACCAGGAACACTATGAGGATACTGAACGTATTCCCGGGGATTGAAATGAGTCTAGAGTCTCGACCTGGGGAAACAACCTCGGAGGCTCGGTTCTGTGATCTTGCATGAAGCATACCCAGTCCCGTCCTCGATTGAAGAAATCTGAAAGAGTGAGACGATGATGAGAGGGACGGGACGTGTGTGTTTATGGCATAGAGACGATTAGATTAGATGACTTTCGGCATATGCTGATGCTGATACTGATACATTCCGTGAATTAAAGATTACTCTAATACATACAGTGCATACTGCTCAACCGTGGACAGGGGAGAGTAGCCGATATGCCAGCCTTTCCAAACTGTCAATGTCCTCGTGCCACATAGATGAATTCCCCGATAATTGCAAAATTTGATCGTACTGGGGTAAGATTGACATGTCACTGTTGTCACGTCCCCTGGTTCCCGAATGCGAGCTTGGTATTGGTAGTGCTGGGAGACAGCTGTCCTTGAATCTATAATTCCCTATACATATCAGACGAGAATCCGCTTTGACCTGTAAATAAATCCAGTTAAGTGAACATGATGTAGTTTCAGCTTGGACCTCTTTTTTATCCAACGGTGAGATGAAGCAAGGCAAAGGACCTAGGTGCACCAGTGAGGACGGGTAGTAAAGGTATCACCGATGAGGTTATTTAGCTCCTTGGGACTTTTTCATGTCCTGTATTACTGTGTATGTCTATTCAAAGTGATCGCATGTGACCTTGAGCTGGTTTCGGCACTTGCTATTTTTACACTTGCAAAAACCTCGGGAATCATTACAAGTGGACAATTTTGAGGACATTTTCTTATCATACATTTACTTCTTCCCTTGGCATTCTTTGAAATCCTGTCCCGAGAAATTAGTAGCAGCAAGACAGCAACGATCCTGCGGCCCCATGTATGAAATCTGGTTCCACAAGCCCTCCTTAGACTTTTGCAATTATATCGCCGTCGAGCCGTTTACATGGGTGGGTGGGTTCCTTGGGGCTCGGGGTAGAAATAGATAGGATCCATAGGGCACAGACTTGCTTGCATTGAGCAAATAATTGCTTTTGCCCTTCGATATCTCGGTTCCCCTTCATCAAATCGATTTGAGATTTGGTGGTAGCATGGTGTGTGAGATCTGAGTAGATCGTGATCGAAGAGCACGGTAGAGAATACGCAAATAGGAGATTTTGGCGAGATAAGATAGGGACGCGTGCTTAGATCTAGTGCAGTACAGACGACTTCTGGAATAAATTATTGAATCCACGATCCTATAGGAGGTCCCATTTGGATAATCCCCGGTTTGCAATGTCCTTGTATTTTCTTGTGGAGTACACGTTTGAGCAGTACTACGGAGTAGATGTATAGGGATGTCTACTCTGAAAGGATTTTCAATCATCTAGGGAAGGCTAAAGTGACATTCGGCTAGGTTTGGGGGAGATGAACAACCATATTACCATATTTGATCATTCTCAATGTTTTTTCTCAAGTATTGGAGATATTAGCTAGATGCTTTTGTCGAACAGATGTCTGTATTCGTCAGCCTTTCTAGCCCTTTCCGTCCTTGTAAGACTTTCTGTAATCGGAGCAATGGGAAGATCTCATAATCTATCTAGGTATTGATATGTGCCGATGGATGTATTGACTCTCAGAAAGGGAAATTGTTTCTTTCGTACAAGATGCCTTTTGCTTTTCATCGCCCCCAAAGTTCAAAGCCCCCATCCGTACAGATATGCATGTATACATACATACATACATACATACATGCCTAGTACATGTACACACACATCAAATCGTTATTGAGAATTGGTTATTGACATGGTTCCACCAGGATTAGATCCAAGAAATCACGGACCTTGCGCTACTTTTTTTTTCAACGCCATGTCACGGACACACATCTCTCAAGCTGCGACTTTCACTCAAAAGTTCCCAAAATGCTTCGCACAACACCGCACCAGTTAATTTATCTAACAGACACAACCAAATCTCACACGGGCATACCCTGTCCAGTTCCCACGTCTCTTAAATCGGATCCTCCCACATGATCCACATTTCCAACAGCCCCCAATGCCCATGAACTATGGATGGTAGGTGCAAAGTCCCAATATGGCGTCTGATACATACCAGACAGTCGCCTTTCCCACGCTCATCTGCCCGGTACCCGGTACGGATGCTCGTTGTATCTCTCTTTGCCTGTGGATGTTTGGGTACGCGGCGCACCATCCCACCAGGGGTTACGGGTGTGAAGCTTTGATTCAAATGGCATACCGAGCCCTCCCCGCTGGCAGCGCATATCATCCGTTCGCATCCGCAACTTTAGAGTAGGTATATGGTATCATCATTCGTTTCTTTCTTTACTTCTTGACTCTTGAGTTTGCATCTATCGTGTACAGGTTACAATATCACAGTTGTACTCAAGATCCAACACAGTCACCAATTTGTCTCTGCTCAGACACCATTTTGACATTGGTGGCTACAACTTTCCCTTACTTTTCTCATTAATTACCTTTCCGTGACGCCTTCATACTTGTTTACATTCTGTTGCTTTTTCAAACAGTGTGACAGGGAAGGTTCAGGTGATATATCCACAACTATTCTTTTCATTATATTTCAGCCTCAAGAAGTTTCGGCAGTGGATATATAAAGGTATGAGATTCTCCCTGACTCGTACTTGTCCGATATCAACTTCACACTCGCATTCCAACTCGAGCTTCATTGAAGTTATACCTCACGTCACTATTTCCCCTAGCCCCACCTAGTACGTATGCTACCTACTCCTCCAACCCTTTTCGCCATACTGACCTATACCTAAGCCATCCTCAAAATACACCATTCTCTTCAGAACCATGTGCGAATACACAAGGAACTACTACATCTACACTTCATGTATCGATCCCGGAGCTCACTACTTCTCAACCTCCATCGACGGAAGCAAAGAACGCCAATGTGCAAAGGGGCCCCATGAACGATACATTGTCGTGCCCGGGCATTGCCCTTTATGCTCATGAACGTCGACGTCATCACCAATCCTCCGGAATCTCTATGAGGTTCCACATATCACATTCGACTTCACGTACCATGATTGACACTTTTATTTCGCGTTTGACCTTGCACCAATACCCCCAACATCACATGGCAGGATTTTGGACGATTTTCTTCCGAAACAAATTCCGGGCATCAACATAGCACTTCAGCGAATCGATGTACTTCTTTATTAGGCGAGCTTTTTTTGAGCAGGGTGTTCGGGAAAAGCTATGGGATGGGTTTCATTTTGAATTTGGGGATATATATTTGTCACCGATGGAGTTTTATTGGTCAATTTTGCTTCTCTTGTATCGTCAACGGCTAGGGAAAAAAAACATGGAAAGAGCTGGATCTCAGGTATTTGCAAAAGCAAGGGACGAAGGAGCACATTTAGCGATCAACAGCATGGGATTTTTATTCATTGAGAAGCAAGGGAAAGGTTCAGCTTCGGTGCATACACAGATACACAATTTCTGATTACAGGCTTCATCCAAGTCTCCATTCATATTCAAATATAATATTTTAACCAATGTCCATCTTCAAAGTCCGAATTTCTGGTGGGCGAGATTTTCTTTTGATAATTCTAGTCGAGTACCTTACATTAGTGTCCGCATATGTGGCTGTCTACGAGCCAGTTATACAGCATGATTTCTGTTCGAGCCACGAACGCTGCGACGATCCTCGCCATGCTAAAGCGAAGATCGGGAGAATCGAGCCGAATTAAATGTAGAAGTATTGATAATCACATGGATGATATCTTTGGGGGTGCAAAAAGCAATCAACGCGTTCTTAAAAATACGACATATCTCCTTTTAGTCATTCCGGCACCGAACACCACCTGGGCACCGCGTGTTCACGGCTAAGTTTGTACGTATTGACTGTTTCTTCTTTCCCAATCAGTACGATGAAGCTTTGGCAGTCTTCTGGACACAGCTTCATCTTCATGGCGTGAACTAGCTTGACATCAAGCTCAAAGCCTCCTCACATGAAGATTTTTCTTCTCCAAATATGGGGACCCCCTTTGAATTCTAAGGGTAATTGGGGGGACCCACGGGGATCAGATCTGACAAATCGAAACTTAAAAAGACAGTTTTTTTTTGCTTTTTAACTCTCCTATAATGTTGAGGAGGTTGTTCCTCAGCTGAAACGTAAATGTGAGGGATGTATATATGTAATATGTATGTAAGCACTGTACGATATATGGTGAGGTAACCGAGTTCTTCAGCCGTGGATTTGGAACGAGGAAGAGGAAGCGGGAGGCTGAAAAGAATGGATCACCAGATGGATGGAGAGACAGGGGATGGAAGATCCCCCACTTCGATTCTTCTGGATGGATGTGGGGGTTTGGCGGATAAATATTTACTAGGTGTGGATATCAAAAATTACTTACAGAGGTAGTACGTATGTTCCATTGATTTTTATCGCTCGATATTAGTCTTCTATATTGCGGGTAGGATGTATCTGTCGTAAGGTTACTATCGTGGCTTCAACATGTATGATGCGATCATTGCAATGGAGTGTGTGCACGGGGTTGTACTCGTGCCAATGCGACTTGTATGAAGATCATTCGAAACGACGTATGGGTCTGCACCATCTCGAAGTTGTTTGAGAGGTATGTTATACATACCTAGCTAGGGACTTCGTGTGATCGTATGGTATTCTATGTGGATATGAATGTGTACTGCGGTGTTGATGGGTTTGATACAGGACGGCTCAAGTGTTCTCGCCTTCCTCAAACCTCGGGTAGAGGGAATTCAAGGATGTATTGTTGACTTGATGAACGGTATGATGTATCGTTATACTTTTTTCCACGTCAAAGCAAGGATTTCTTCAAGCGCACTACTATCAGAGTGCATCATTCTATCACGGATGTGGCTCAATAGTTGCATCGGCGATAAGTCGTGGGAAGCTAGAACATTCATTGATGCTTGGTCCCCTTCAAGGCCGTTAAGAAAGACATTTTATCCACAAACTCTATTCAACACTGTTAGGCACTTATGATGATACCGGTACCGAGCCCTTCCAGTTAAGGGCAACGTCTGTGCTTCAGTATTTTATCAGAAAAAAGAGCCGACGGAGCAAGTCCTATGGCTTGATCCTGACAGACAAGCTCTTTGCTACAGAAATCAGCTAGAAATGTTCAATTGATTGCAAAATGAACAATTTCCGAAGCTACCGAGGCAGGGATAGCGCATTTGCTTTGACATCGGCATATACAACTGTTAGACTTGGCAAGTAGTAGTAGTCCTTCTGGTTACATACAATCCAGTGATGCCAATCCGTGTAATCAGATGTTCGAGCCGCATTCAAAAACCTTACAATGATTATCTTCCAGTTTTTGCACGTCTCCTGTCTATTCCTATCGCCACAAGCGAGTAAACGCCGACCGAACTCGCAAATTACGAGTTCAGTCGTAATCTGCCATCTTAGCGTGATGCCAAACGCTTTGAAGTTTGAACAGGTGCTAGCCTTGAACTCAACAGGGCTTCCACATGTACCTCGAAACTTTAATTGAACCCCGAAGTCTAGACACGGGATGATACACATTTCGAAGTTCAGCCGTTCGCGACGGTTTGTTCCGTACCGTGACAGTGGGCTCGTCCCGCAATTGACCCCTCAAATCATCGGTTCCTGATATTGGGTGTACCTTCTTAATGCGGAACTCTTTCTGGCGCTTTTTATGAAGCTATCTTGGTGTGAATGAAAGTGTGTACAAACCGAAATCACCGAAATCGATGAATCGTCAAAAATGTTTCTTTCCAGATGTAGATTTTGTTAACAAATCTTTTCTGAGTTTAGAAAAAACTTGACACATACATAAACTGTTAGCTTCCGAACCATTCGATGCTTGGTTCTAGATGGGAATATGTGTTGATTAATTAACCAAAGAATTTTGAAGACGATGTTTGATTCGAATGTGCACTCAATCTCGGCTACGCCGAAGCTATCACTTATGGCCCCTGCATCAACATCATGTCTCCACGGATGTATCACTGCTTTTGCGGCCCAAAAGTATGTAACTCGACGCTAAGAAAACTTGGTCGGTCTTATAGACTATAGTTCAACGTCTTATTTCCATCTAACTTCAGAGTCGCATACTCTGCTGGCCACCCAAGTATGCTCATGGTGTGGTGTAACTCTCTTGGAGCTAATCGCATCAAAGAAACTCGTCTACGATTCTCAATGCAAAGCAAGTATCTTGATGACATCGCACAGAATGTTTGATACATTTTAGACCATATCTTAAGATTCATTATGACAAGGCTCATTGATAAATTGAGGGTCTTATTTGTGTTAGGAGATCCGGTTATCCGGATTGACACCATTAATACAAGGACTGGTCTTCAATGTTTGAAAAGCTAGGATTTTTTTTGAATATATTTCACTCTAAGAATCCACTATCGGCTTGCAATAGACATTTCCATGGACTGGGGCGGGGGGTAGAAAGGACCAGTGTCCCCTCAATCTAGAGATACTTGAGAATTCAACACGAAGCCCCAGTGGGGGTACGTATAGCAAAGTTTTGGGTCAAATTGCAAATAGAAATCCATGAAGCTTGACTCTCGGAGCTTTCGGACGACGTGGAATCTGGAGTACAGTTTTGAGAAATCCCCACAGAAGAAAGAGGATTGGGGTTTGCGTGGAGGTCTCGAAGCAGATTAAAGGAGACAGGATGGCGAACATCGAACACATCTGCAAATATATGATTTCTTGCGATGAAAGAACAAGTGTGAATATAATTTCCAAGCTAGTGCTGATTTAAAAACTATAACCCTCTTTACGTCAATAAAAACAAAAAAACAAGGGCTGAAAACTTTCTCAAGCTGAGTTGCTACACTTGGCAACGCTAGTCACAGATGTCAGATCAAAGACCTCGAGGTCATGTGTAGGTATTTACCATCCACATAATCCCACCATGCCACGTATCCGGGCACGTTTCTCTTTCTTCTCCTTTCCTACTCTTCCACCTTTCTTTTTCGGCTAGAAATCGCAGAGAAAATGTTCTCTATAGCGCCGTGCCGGTAACCGAGCCGTCTCAACGACGCCCGTCCTGGCTGAAGAAAGCAAGTGAGGTAAGTCAGCTGAGTTTTCCACACATACAGAAGATAGGATATCTACCCGCACTCTCCCAGCACAAAAGAAGCATAGAAACTGTGTACAGCTTCAAGATTTGTGGCTTTGGGGCGGGAACGTAGACACTGAGGCTTTGTTTCTTCTACCTACCTACGCATCAAATCCCCCAAAACATTCACGTGTCGTCTTGGGTGCTAGTACACCATCTCATCACATTCCATATCATATCATCATCCGTGCAAACACCAATCACAATATCCAACAACCCCAGCAACCAACCAGCCGAACCATGACAGTCACGTTACACAGCTCTCCATCAAGCTATCAAGTGTATCAGTATCAAAATCAAGCACAACACGCCATGTGGCTGGAGCAGCGGCAAGTTTGCCCTACCATGCACAAATCAACGCAATTCATCATTGTTCAACCCAAAATACTCAAAATCAATCATATTGGGATCATGGGCTGGAAGATCAGATGACACGTTGACTTCTTTAACTCGCCAAGTGCATAATTCGGGATGACAGGTTAGGTACACCTTCATCTTTCGACTCCTCGGGAGAATCGCGTCATACATCAAACAGAAAAGAAATTCAATTGCTCATGCAAGCCTATATTCGAAAGAGGGAAAGTATACAGCTGTAAAGTAAGAAGTGCTATATTATTTGGTCCAAATCTGACAGGGATCGTCATGAGCGGGATATTATTGCACTGCGCTAAAATACATTCCGTATTAAACACAGAATCCTTTATTTGGAAGTTGAAAATTGCATAGGGCTTTCGACGAAGCAGTGTTTTACAATCTTAATGCCTCTACGTCTTACTCATCTACCAGCCCAAAAGTTGAAGCTGCATTCCGATATTCAGAAGCTTTGAATGTCTGTATTTCACTGAATGATTCAGATGGTTTGAACACTGTCTTCACTTTGAATATTGCGTTGCTTTCTGCCAGTCCAGTCTATTGGAAACCTTGATATTGATATTAATACATCAAACTTTTCAGGACGTAGTTTAGAGCTACTTAAAGCTCACTCTTTACTTGAGTATTTGCTTCCACCCAGGCCTTGACATCCTCTCTATCTCTCTCAACCCAAGCGCTCTTTGCTCTAATACTATCCAGACTTTGTGCCAGACCCTGGTCAAAGCCCTTGGTATCTCTCTTTGAAAAGAACTCCTCAATTCGCTTTTGGTTACGTTCACCGGTGAAGCCCGATGTGCAAATGGTAACCATCGTTCCCAACATAGACAAACCGGCCGGTAATCGTCGCTGGAGTTCTTCCCAGTTTTCGGTCATCCAAACATACAATGCTTCGATACCTTCTGGATGACCTCTAAGTCCGCTAATGGGGAGGTAAATATCTTGTTCCTTGACTTCACCGCCGAATGGTAAAGCGAGAGTTTGCTTGATTAATTCAGGGTCCTTGGCTCGTCCCAAAGAACGGAGAGCAGTGTTACGCTCATCGCTGTTTGTCGAGTTGCGGTAAGCATCTAGGATGATGTCGTACTGTAAAATATTAGCTACCATACATTTTCTGAAACGATTGAACATACCTCTTTCTTGCCACCATATTTCAAGGCGATAGCATAAACGCTACCGCGGATGTTTGGATGAATAGCAGATTTGTCACCCGCTGCAAACTTAGCAAACATATCTTGTGCAGCTTTAATGATGACCTTGTCACCGGATATACCAGCACTACCGAAAAGAAGAGTTTTAAATTGTTGCTGGACATGCTCGTCGCTGTCCTTGAACTCCCATCCAAATTTGTGGGCATATTCGCTTGTAAGCTCTCTTTGGAATGACTCGAGTCCATCTTTGACTTTCTCGTCCTCAAAGACCCAAGCAGTTTGGATGCTGCCTAAACGGGCGAGGATTTCGGTCCAAACAACGAACTCGGTTTCGCTAGTGAAGCCCTTGAATAAGTTTAGAACACCGGAAGTCTTCTGGTATCCAGCTGAAGCGAGAGCTCCTGCGTCTGCGATCATTCCTGCACGATCTTCAACGGTAAGAAGACCTTCCTTGGCAGCTTGACCTAGCTTTTCGAGTCGTTCCGGAGTGTATGATGTTCGATAAATGCTAGTGTGGTCTGCATTCAGCTTGAAGAAATCTGCAGGGACCTGAATAGTCTCTTCTCGCTTGTCTAAAACCAGTTCCTCATCAACACCGCTCTTAGTGCGGAGACCCAAGAAAACCGGGTACAAAACTTCATCCTCCTCAGGCTTGACGTCTGCTGTTCGCAAGAAGCGATTTTGCTTGACGTGGATGCTCTTTCCATCTTCGTTTTCAGTAACACTTACAACAGGATACCCGACCTGTTTTGTCCAGATGTCCATAACTGCCGAGACATCCTTACCGCTAGCCTTGCTCAATGCATCCCAAAGATCGCCGGTTTGGGTGTTGCCATAAGCATGCTTCTTCAAATACTGACGGATACCCTCCATAAACACGTCTTCTCCCAAATAACTTGCAATCATGCGAAGGACACAAGAACCTTTGGAATATGAAATAGCGTCAAAGATCTGGTTGACTTGGTCGGCTCGCTTGACTGGCACTTCAATTGGATGACTGCTTCGAATAGAATCAAGACCGAGGGCGCTTTGCAGATTATCCGTCACGTAGTTTTGCCAAACCTTCCATTCTGGATAGAAGATGTTGCAGGAATACCATGACATCCATGTTGCGAAACCCTCGTTGAGCCACAAACCATCCCAGAAATCCATTGTGACCAAGTTACCGAACCATTGGTGAGCCAACTCATGCTGGACGACTTCCGCAACTCGTTCCTTTGTAGACGCACCGCTGGTCTTTTCGTCGAACAGGAGATCAACGACACGGTAAGTAATCAATCCCCAATTCTCCATGGCACCAGCGGAGAAATCTGGTATGGCAACCATATCCTACGAACAAAGTTAGAACATTTAGAGTAGGAAAGCTAATATAAGAACTTACCATTTTTGGTAGAGGGAATGGACTATCAAAAGTCTTCTCATAAAACTCCAGGGTTCGTGCTGCAAGATCCAATGAAAATCTTCCATGCTCGATGTCTTGATTTGGAGGAGCATAAACTCTGACCGGAATTCTGAACTTGTCGGTCTCGATATAGTTGAGTTCTCCAACGATGAAGGCGAGAAGATACGTCGACATTTGTGGAGATTTGTTGAACTTGACAGCCTTCTTGTTTCCCTCGACTTCGGTCTCTGAAGCAACATCCATATTGCTCAAGCAGGTGAGGTGCTTGTCCGCAACCAAAGTAATTGTGAATTCTGCCTTCAATGCAGGTTCATCGAAACAAGGGAAAGCTCTTCGGGCATCAGTCGGTTCCATTTGTGTTGTGGCCAAAATGCCCTCGGATCCATCCGCATTCTTGTATGTTGATCTGTAAAATCCTGCCATCTTGTCATTGAGCTGGCCAGTGAACTTCATTTCGATTTGTGCCTTGGTTCCCTTGGGGATGGTTTGCTTGAAAGCAACCTTTGTGGTCTGGCTGTCTTCATTGTAAGAGACATCTGGAGTAGAGCTATTGAATGTTAGATTTGTTGAGGAAGCATATCACAATAGGCTTTTCAATCAATCACTAACCTTATAGCTTCAGATCCAGAGGTCACTTTTGTGCTGTGTATCTCAAGCTCCAAAGTGTTTAGAGAAATAGAAGTAGTGTCTTCAGCAACATCTAAATCGATTATAACAGTACCCTCGTAGGTATGCTTCTTGAAGTCCGGCTCTAATGTGAGATCGTAGTGTCTTGGAATGACATTTGCTGGCAAGATCTCTCTTCCCTTGGTAATATCGATTCCTGCGCTCTCTACCTCCCCTCCGGCATGTACACCTCTACACATCTTGTGTCTTCTATATGAACAATGGCGGATTGCCGAGGTGGTTAATGTTGTATTTCGAAAGTTGTTTGATAACTGAGGACGGTTTTTCGAAGGACTGAGACTAAATTTGAATAATCGGTGAGCTTATGAACACTGCGCACTAAGATACAAGTGAATAAATCAAAAGCAAATATGGGGTTAACTGTGTTGATCTTGCCTCAGTTGACTTGCTTGAGGTATCACGAGGGTAGATATTCAAGCTTGTACAATGAATGGAAAGAGCTCCACGGAATGAAAGAAATGGCGGGGTAGAACATACAATGAAGCTGAGCTTCGATAGGAACTAATTGAAAGGCTTTGAAAGGTTCTGCTAACAATTGGCAATCTTCTTTGTGCTCTACTTAAGGAAAGGAAAACACTGGCTGGAGGCCGAGTAAAAGAGGATGTAAGGGTATTGGAGATACGCATTGACATCGAAGCAAGAAGTGAGGGAAGCTACAAAATACCGACACACACACACACAACGCCGTATGCTATGCTATGCTATGCTTTGCCGTATGTACAAATATGACACGCACCACCTTTGCAACCTGGGCAAAGAATGAACAATCGAAATGACTGGGAAGGAATGATCGAACTACCAACGATTGAGGAAGGTGGGGTCTCTCTGGGTCTGCAAGCAAAAGCTTTGATGAATGCCAGTGGATAGATGGCAGTAAGTCCAGTGGCAGAAAGTGCACAGGAATGGCCAGGTGATGCCGTTTAGGACGAGAAGGATGAATCAAGAGCAAAGGTGGGAAGAAGGCTAAGGTTAAAGCACCTGCTTGTCAACCTTCACTAATGCGAGTGAGATGTGAGATTTCGAACTTTAGAAGAGAGAGTGGCTCGAGTGGCACCAAATCATCTCGTACTCTTCTTTTCGGACAAGGATATATCTTCAAAAATCATCATATCGTACCTACTCATCATTGATTTATTTATCCAGTTGCTGTTTTGGGTGGCGGTGAGGAAGGCTCAGATTGCATTAAGCCGCATTGGGTGATGTTCTCCATTTAACCGTTACACAAAACTTTTCTTCTCGCGCTCCTCTTTTTCTTTCTTCTTCAAGCAACTTAAACGGCTCGAACAACATGATATCGATCTTTCTCCCACGATATGTTGACGTGCTCCAATATTTACTGTTAAAGTTTAATTTGGTTGTTGCAAGAAGAAGATTTACAACCACCGCAGGTTTGAGGCGACCAATAGCTTTCGAGCGTTGATTGGAAGTCATAGGAAGACGGTACATACTTTTTAACATAAGCCAAGTCGATATCTATATAGATATCGATGTTGATATCCATGCATGCTCGTAGCAGCTCGTAGCAGTTATAAGTAAGGGGAAGCAATGTATCCTCATCTGCCATGGCTTTGAAAGCTTCCCAATGCTATTTTAATCAATATTTTATTCAAACCTTCAGCGCTTTCCTTTTTGACCGGTGAACTCGGTGACTCTTTATTCGAAGCTCTCCATGGTCGGGCATTCATGTTGTGCTTCAGCCTTTGACAGCAACCCAGGTACCATTGATTACATTGTCCTTTATTGTCCTGCATCTATGCATCCGATCCCTTATCGTCTGGCAGATCCTCCATTACACCAAAAAGAACCTTGAGCCAGAGACTACATCCCTTGCATCCCACACTGATCTCACCATCTTCAGCTGCCTCCTCTAAATCTTGCTCTCGGATTAAGAACCCTCGATCATCTCCACATCTACAGCTTCTATACCATATGCCATTCTCTTCTTCGGCATTCAAATCATCCAAATCGACAACTTCAACACCCGTTCGGAAAACTTCTCCTTCCTTTTGTCCTGCACCATTTATAGAGCGATTCTGCAATCTCAATTCCTTATCATATTGTGCTCGTAGTTTGGAGTCCGATAGGTGAGAGAAAGCCACGGATATTTGATCAATAGTATACAGCGTTTGGGGTCTGTTTGTATGACCTTGTTCTTGGCTTTGAGATTTGTCAGGATGATTTCGAAGAAGTGCGCGTCGATATGCGCTTCGCAAAGTTGCTACCGGAATATGTGTTGCATTTTGAAGAGACGAAGGGATGTCTAAGATCTCGTAATATGTCGATGTGCAAGTCATTGATCCATCAGGGTTGAGTTTTGCTGTGCCCGTCGTCTTTTGTTTGTCCTTATGATTCTACGGTTTTTCTCGATGCGACCCTCCGACCTTAACCCTCGTGCATGTGAAGTGGGGCAATGCTCTCTATGCCTGAGGCGTCAATATATCCTCCACCTTCCACTTTCGGTCAGCTTCTCGTGCTGGAATCTCTTGATCACATTCCATCGTAGTCATACATATCTTTTATACATATTTTTCTGGGCCATCCGAGATCCTCTATAGCTATCTACTAGGTAGGTACTCAAGCAGCTCTTACTTGGAAATATTTTGGCGCAGAGTAGATGCGAAAGTTAATTTGAAGCGCACCCATAAAGAATTATGAAGAGAAGATAATTCGATTCTTGTAACGGAGGTCAATTCAATCTTACCCGTGATTATCTACACGATATATACATTGCAAGAAAGTGAAGGCGGGACATGACATATGTCTGGGTGAAGGGGATACATTCGTTCCTATCATGGAACTGCTTTTAGAAGTCTATCTAGATCGGTTTGGAATCGAGGTCAAAATCTAAGACAACTACATCTCGAAGTCCATCCTCTTTCTTGTCCGTTCTTGTAAAGATAGACAGATTCTCACCTCCTTCCACCTCTTGTATCTCGACTGAAGGCTCGCCATCAAATCCTGATGCACTCCATACAAGATCAAAGAATACTTGTCCATCCTTACTATGCACTTTCACGATGCTGAGGGTGGAATCTGTATTTCCAGGCAAAGCGAGATATACGTTATTCTTGCTGTCAACAGATATGCTTCCTCTCGAGCCAATTTTGGTAGGCTTGTTTATGCCATCCGTTGGGACAGCGTTCTTTGTCCACCCCCCTAATATTCGTTAGTACAGAGTCCTCAACATAATTTGATCAGTATTGCGGCTTTACCTGTACAATCACGGTAATAAATTATCCACTGTTGCTCGCCCGCAGAATTCTCCCTGTTCAAAACCCAGAATCCGCCCTTCCGATCCGCCGCTTGAGCTTCTTGGTTCAAGATCCCACTTCCCATGGGAATCTCAAAGACTCTCGCCTTGGACTGCGGCAAAATGGTGTTTTCTTCTTTCCCATCCAGTACGGCCAAGATTGTTCCATCCGAACTTTTCCATGTCTTGCCCACATCTTCCGAATAAGCAAAATTCAGATCATAGTTATTCTCGGGCCCGTTGGGCCCGGCTTGTTGTTTATGTGCATCTGTGCCTGTGGAAGATTCGAAAACGATGAAGTTTCGATAACACCATGACAGATAGAGTCGCGAGTTTTGATAATCAAGACCATTTATATATGGACTATTAGAAACACCAGTAAGATGCTGGCCTAAATATGTATAAGTGGAAGACTTTCCCGAGTAGCGGTAAAGGATATCTGATCCTAATCCTGCCCTACATTCATATTAAATTCATGTGCAGATGCAGTTGTATCAGAACATACATACTGGCCAATACGATATGTCAACAACAAATCATCATCCACGTTCACGAACCGAGGATAAGTGACTTCGTCCATCAGTTCATTATGTGCAATGCCAGGAAGATAATCTTGCGTTTGCGAAAACAGAGATGCATTCCATACATTGGAATCCTCCGGATATTTTTCTGAATCTATGCGTTTCAAAATTTTAAATCTCAATCTAACATTTCTCAGCACTGCTCAACTTTTTTCCAATAACAATAACACACCTATCACAGTGATGATCAAACGCTATATGTATACTTCCATCTCCACTACACATACCAATAGATATCGTATTATGTCCATCATCAACCACCTGTTCATAATCGTGGAAACTCAGAATATCCCACTTCGAATGCGTAGGTGAGACTTTTCTTCTACCCAGATTCATCATACAAGCATTCAGTTTTGTGGACGTAGGGTGATCGGTATAGAATGCTACATATTGCCATCCATTAAACGTGGTAATTGCGTTTTGCTGGAAGGAATTTGCGTTGATTCTATGTGTTCTTTGGGGATCCGGGCCGAGTATTGAAATGCTAGGGTTTGGGAGTCCCATTGTGAGATGGATATCTGATAAAAGTCAAGCAATCTCCTTCAAACAACTTTGAAAACAAAATCCCCACCGCAACGGCCTTGATTCTGATATAAAGCTCACAACTGATCCCACACATACATATCCCCACGTCCATCACGATACCAGCGCATGCACACACGCAAAACCGATACCCGTCGAGAAATCGATCCTCGGCTCCAACCTCAAAACCCCCATGCGTGAATAGGTATCTCCCCCGAGATATCCCACCAATCCCCTGTCCTTCGCATATAAAGCCCCAGTCGGTTCATCACCTGCCGAAGCTTGAAAATGCTCTACCCCGCAATCCCCGGATAAATATCCCCGATAAGCGAATTGTGCAGCATCCCCTATTGGATGTGAATTTTGTTATCGTGGGGATGCTTTGCAGTTCCCTTGCGCATCATTGCCTTGATACGATACGATATGCTATGCAAAAAGAGTTATCAAGTGGTAGGGCACGACGGGATAGGATAGGATAGGATATGATGGGGTAGCGAGGTAGCATTGCAGCTTTGACATGGCCTGTATGCAGAGACGTGGTGGGACAGCTGCATCGTGGTGAAATGATTTCAAATATATTATAATACTCATGTACATCCTATGTGTTTATTCAAACGATCTCACATTCTCGTCTTCCTAAGCATCTCTCTATCGTGCTCAAAATGATGTTTCCGACTAAAGCCCCTCGCGTCGACAGAGATGTTCTCGCGTCCGCCTCTCATTTAACAAATAAACGTGGTCCTTGGTGGCATGATCGAGGATTGCTCAAACTCAATCTTCTTATCATGATACCATTGATGAGTGAATATGTGCAGGGTTATGATGCGAGTCTTATTAACAATGTGCAGCAGTTGAAGAGTTGGCAGAATGGTAATTAGCATCTTTTCTTTTGCATTCCCTTGGTGTAACTCTTTGCTTTCTTCTTGCTTGGAAGTTGGTGGTGATGAGAGGGAGTAGTGGGTTTGAAAAGAAGAGATGTATCCAGATGGTGATTTTGTTATCTATGAGAGGGCTATAGTAGATTGTGCTGAAATAGGAGGCATGGCTGATGAAGGAATTTAACAGAATTTCATAACCCCAAGGGCTCACTCTTAGGTATTTTGTCGGCGAGTTATTGGGTGGGAAATGTCTTGGGAGTATTCTTTATCACGCCGCTGAGTGATAGATTTGGCAGGAGAATGGCGCTGTTCTTTGGTAGTGTAGTTGCAATACTTGGGACAGCTCTTTGCACCGGAGCCATTAATGGTATGTTTGTTTCATCTTATATTCGCGTGGCCAGGAAGGGGTGGAATATGTGGAAAATGAAGATTTTATAAGATAGAGAGAGAGATATGGCCGGGTATTGTGAAACAAAGGCTGATGAAAACTTAGCTGGCATGTTCATTGTCGGCAGACTTCTATTGGGGGTTGGAGGAGTGGTTGTTGGAGCCATTGGACCTGTACTAGTAGCGGAACTTGCATATCCGGGTAAGTTCTCCTGAGACAGGAGCCGAGCATGGTTCGATGTCAAACTGCGAGGAACTAATGGAAAATAGATCATCGTGCGACCGCGACTGCGCTTTCAAATACCCAATACTCAATGGGCTCGATCATCGCTGCCTGGATAACTTTTGGTAGGCTGTTTTGCTATAGCCTACACGTGTTGAGAGCGAGATACTAACAAGAGATAGGTACATTTCGATTGAACTCCACATGGTCATGGCGCATTCCCTCAATCTTTCAAGCTTTGCCCTCTGTCGGCCAGGCACTTGGTATCTTCTTTCTTCCCGAGTCACCTCGTTGGCTTGTAAGCAAAGGTCGTGAAGATGCTGCCTTGGATGTCCTGTCTAAGTATCATGCCAATGGAGATCGAGAAGATGAGATCGTACAGTTCGAATACAGGGAGATAGTCGGAACAATCGAGTTGGAGATCTCAGCAAAGCAATCGAGGTGGAGTGAAATGTGGAGAGGTAAAGGAAACCAATGGAGAATGTTTATTATGATTGTGAGCCTCAGATCCTTTATTCTGTATTCATTCGAAGCGGCACAGCAACGATAAAAATGTGCGAAATGTACTAAATGCTGATAATAATCTATAGTTCTTTGGAATCTGTAAGCAATGGTCAGGAAATGGTGTAGTGTCCTATTACTTACATACAGTAAGCACATCTCAGGTTTAACTTTTTTGACACGTCTGACAACCTCCAGATGCTCGACGACGTTGGAATTACGACTACCTTACAACAAACCCTCATCACTGCAACCTCCCAAATGTTTTCCTTTGCTTGTTCTGTTGCTTTTGCGTTTCTGCCCGCTCGAGTAGGTCGTCGACCTCTTCTGCTCTGGTCAATGGGCCTGATGTGGCTTGTCTTCACAATAATCACCATCCTTACCGGTGTGTTCACCCACACTGGGTCTAAATCTGCTTCTTATGCTTCGGTTGCTTTTATATATTTGTACAGCGGAGTACACAATTTGGGATGGACAGGTGCCATGATGCTTTATGTGGTTGAAATTTTGCCGTACACGTTGCGCGCCAAAGGCATTTCACTATTTTGGTTAGTCACGGGCTTAGCGGGTGCATTCAATACCTATGTGAACCCATTAGGTCTTGCAAGATTTGGCTGGAAGTTCTATTTCTTCTATGTAGCATGGATTGCCGTCGAGTTCGTCGTGGTGTACTTTGCTTGTCCTGAAACGAAAGGAACAAGTTTGGAAGATGTGGCTTTAGTCATTGAGGGAAACGATGCGAAAGTCAGCAAGATGAATCCGGTGAAAGAGGCGGTAATAGAGAAAGAGGGTGGAACCACGGAACACGTTGAGAAGACGAGATGAAATAATGACTGCGAAGGTATCAAGTGGATATATTGAATACCTCTTGACCTTGCATACCTACTATGTATGCTAGGTAGAGTGTCTTGGTTATCGATTATTGTATAAGAGATACTAGGCAGTGCAATCACTGGCTGGATCTATTGCGACGACAGTGAAAGTGTCAGGAGAAGGTGTTCGTCTTTCCCCACCAGGGTTGTCCAAAACACAGCAAATTGACAAGTCTTCCAGAGCAGGTGATCTTGCACTTATCAGGTGGGTGAGTAGATTTGGTTGTGATAGAAAACTCTGACGACGTCTCACATTAAAATAAATTTCCCAGTATATTGAATACCCAAGTAGGTAGAAATCCAAAGGTCGTGGTAATATAACACATGATTGTATCGACAGAATTTGTGCTGCGAAGGTGAAGTTTGAACCCTTTCTCAATTTTCCTTGTACCCGCCTACCTGCCTGGTAGTATCCCTCCTCACAAACATTGATTAATTACTGACCATTGAACTCGACTGCGAACCTCCACCCCCAAGAATTCACCAACCTTGCACGTACAATAAACCATCACAATCATCACCGACCTTTATCTGGATTGCGATTCATCTACGAAACACATTTTTCCGACAGACTCTTGACAAGAGTTTGATTGTCACAACGATCGTCTCTCTCCTTGATAATGGTAAGTTCCCCCACACAACCCTGGCTGTCAAAGATGTCAACCAAAATAGATGAAACAAAATGATTAATATTTGTAAAGGCTCCCAAGAACCTACCGCCCGCAGCCAAGCAAGCAAAGATTCTGGAGTGGTTTCGAACCTCCATGGGAGTCTATTCCTTCAAAGAACTTGAGAAACTACTCCCATCTGTCGGCTCGATCAATGGCATGCTAGTGAAAGAATACATCCAAGCGCTCACAGACGAGAATTTGATCCGCGTCGAGAAAATTGGAAGTGGCAATTGGTATTGGTCATTTACCTCAGATGCCAAGAAAAGCAAAGAAAATCTGATCAACAAATTGAAGGATGAGGAAACCAAATTGTTGGCTTCAATTGCGGTTGCTGAACAAGAGGTTAAAAAGGAAATGACAAAACGTCAAGAGGACGATGAAATGCTCCTTGATGGTGGATCAGACAGACACGCTTTGATGGACGCTTATGAGGCTCTTGTGAAGGAGAACGACGCTCTTGATAAGGAATTGGATCTCTACAGTGATAACGATCCTGCCGAGATCTTTCGAAAAATGGAGGAAACAAACAAACTTAAGGAGAGCACTGTAAGATGGACCGACAACCTTGAATCACTTGAATCATTCTTGGTCAGCTTGACGGGAGACCGAGCTCAAGCTGGAGAGATCATGTATCGAGCATGTGGCGAGGACTATGTAGTCGGGGAAGGGTTGAAAGAATTAGCGGTCCCAAATTAGTGGATCCTTCTTAGCTCTACTTGCATGGACAATCTCGAGTTATCGGAATGTAATATGATGGAAGTGGTACTACTGGCTTGCGATTATCGTTACTCGGTCTGGCTGGTATAGCTTCATGTTTTGTTGTCGTCAGCTTTTTACGAAATACGATCTGGAGGACAGTGTGATCAGATATCAAGTGGCGTGGCATGCATGGATGTAAACCGTTGATCAATCCGAACATTAAACTTAATCATTCGATTGCTTGAGAGCTCTCAGCTGTTTGTTCGTTCGTTTGTTATTTCCAACTCGAAAACTTGATGATACGTTGATGAAACATTATTCATGTTACAGATGTGACATGTACGCAAACCCCAACATCTCCACTTGGCCACTTGAAAATTTTGCCATATCAGATGCAAGTGCAGCCCAAAGCGGGAAAATACCTGGGAAGGACTAGACAAGCTTTTTTTCCTAATCTTAGGCTAATCGCGATTTTCGAGGGACCAGCTGGGCAACAATCTTCAATGTCACAAACGGGACTCGGGGATTTAACCAAATTGTCCCCCGCACCGAGAAATCCACCAATTAGCCCAGTAGACCGATGAAATGTCACCATGTTGCATCAAATATCCTCTTTCGCTTCTCGGATGCCCTATCACCTTTTCCAACGGTTCAACCTTCGATACAAATTGCTTCATATGGCCGAGTGCATATACTCGAGAATACGAATCCGTGATAGTGCTATGCATGATGAATAGTAAACCATCGCAGGATCTCAAGCTAGAAGATGAATTCCCGTGTGAATTGAAGGATGCCTATAGCTAGGCCAGGAAGAATCGGATCCGGAAAGAGATGGAAAAAGATCATACACTTTTGTGATTCGCAAAGTGTCAAGTAAGAAGCCATCGTGGAATCAGGTTACAGTCCGAATGAACCGTCGGTATCTCGAGGGTATATAGGCCCCTCACGAGACTATAAGGGATGCAAGAGTACTGGTATGATGAACAAGCAGGCTGGCTGATGGCAAGCGACGTGGACAATATATGGTTTGCTCGTATACGTTGATCACTTCCTCGACGCCTAGAACAATCCAGCCCTACCTACTGGACTCATCCCTTTCACTAACCGTTCCTCGAGCGTTACTCGCTTGTACCGAAAAGTTACCGAAAGCTACAAAGCTACGATGCTACATGCTGTACACCCTTCATTAGTATGTTTTGACATACGGAATGGTTGGCTGACAATTGTATACACACGAAATTTGCATTGGACCGATATACATATGCCTTCCGCTTCCCGAGAGAAATCATCCAAAACCGATATCCCTAGAGCCGAACAGGTATGCATCGGTAGGTAGATAATGTAATGCCCTTCATTTCCGTCCGTTTTTCTTTTCTTTCGTTTTTCCCTCGAGTATTCTGCTCTTCGTCTTCATCTCACCAGGGACATACACATCTTACCGTTTTCTACGCTTCTTGCCTACTAAGCATTTTCTTACGTTTTATAACATAACACCACCTCTACCTCAAATAGCCACTCAACTCCTTTTATCCCTCAGCCTTATAAGTGAAAGAAGAGTATCAGATTGCCAGGTTTCAGCGAATACAGACACGCCAATACCCACCATACACCACATACCACATACCACACACCACTCGCACGCCCAAACTGTATCGTGGACTGGATCATTGTGGACTGTGGGACCTAGGACCCCTGAGCAAATTCAAGCTTTCTGCAACGCGTAAGGACCTTCTCCGGGTCCCTCTTGAACCCCTTCAAATTTGTCTGGGCTAAGCCTACACGGCTTCCACGATTTGTACCCAATTTTATCACGAATCTTAATTCAAACATACTTTTGTTTAAACCAAAAAGAAGTTCGATTTTCGAAACCTTCTACACCCAGATATTATTCCTGGTCTTCCAAGGTTCTTTCGCCTTCTCATGAAGAAAAAAGAGTTGCATCCCGCTTGCTCTCCCTTTCAAGTCCACCAGTCCCCCCCCCACCCTTCATATCAAATCAATAAGCACCTAGCACCTAGCACCTAGCACCTAGCAACTACCTAGGTACCATTCCATTCCCATACACGCACAATAATCATCAAACTCTCGTTGCACTTGTTGTTCTGATTACCCTCATTACCCTCATTACCCTCATTACCCTCATTACCCTCATTACCCTCATTACCCTCATACTTTGCCTGTCTGCCCGCCTACCATACCTACCTCCCTACCTATCTCGCTCCCTCCTCTCCCTAGTACCCTACCTGCTCTCTCGGACTCGGACAATTTATGGACCTTGGTAAAACATTGACAAGTTCTAATCTGAGGAACTACTGCGAGTAACTACCTAGGTACTTTGCACGGAAAAAGTTACTAGGTGCATTTGAAATCTTTTGAGTTTTGACCGACAAAACGTTCATTCACTCACTCGCTCGCTCACTCACTCACCCACTCATTCATTCCTCTATTCATTGAAGAAGATTGCAAATCCTGGCTGCAAATCACAATTTCACAAAAAACCCCATATTCTCATCCCAAATCCTTCCAACAGAAGAAAAAAAGGCATTAAGTCTTAGGTTCAAGAATATCAGAGACCTAAAACCATTATTAGGCTCCCCGATTTTCCGTCTTTTATTACCAGTCAACCCATCATTATTATTGATTGATTGATCCAACCAACTATCCCTTCATCAACAAATCCCCATTCGTATTTCGATTCACTATTATATTCATATTTATTTTTATATTTATTATTTTACCATTTATTATTACACCATTGCTATTACCTATTATTTATTACTCAATTTCCACACTCAAGGATTTGCCATGCATCTTGATTCACTTCTTATCATAACGACTTAGCATTGGCAACTGTTGTTGTTTCCCCCGCAGTCGCCCGGAATTTGCAGTTCTGCCAATATTCTGCGTGCGACTTTCCGTCAATTCCTTCCCAGTACTTGGCAGACACGATTAAGACTTGGCACCGCGAACATATCATATATTGTATTAGCATGTGCGCGAATGTCACTTCAACGACCCAGTCGTCGCCGACCGCATCGACAGGTCGCTCTCTGTTTTCTAGATTGACTGCCCCATTGAAGTCCCGAACGCGCAACCTGGCCGACTTCCATATCGAACCACTTGAACCTCATCGGCGATATGCACCGGGTGATCTGGTAAGGGGTGCCGTGGTATTGACTGTTGTCAAACCCGTACGGATTACCCACCTCACTGTCTGCCTACATGGTTTCATACACGTCTACAAGAATGCCAATGGCGCGAACGAACCTCTGCCAGATACAGTGACGTATGCCTCGGACAACCCCATGAAGTCGCAATACTTTGGCAATGGTTATTGCTCACTCTTCCAAGATGAAGTTGCATTATGTGGTGAAGGTAGACTTGATGCTGGAGTATATAGATTTAATTTCGAACTGGAATTTCCTACCAAGGGTATTCCTACAAGCGTCGATGTAGGCAACTTTTGAGCAGACCCCAATGCGACTTGGACTAATGAATGTGATTAGTTTGAAAGAGGAACGATATCATATCAGATCTCTTCGACGATTACCCGGCCAACTACAATAGCTGCGACCTCGATGTGCGAAAGGAAGGTTGAGCTGGTTGAGAGAGTAGATGTTGGTCCCTTGGGACCACCCCGACCTCGAACAATATCACTGGAACCCATCTCGAGACGAGCAAAGAGGAAGAAGTCCATTAAGCCAAAAGATCACCCCCCATCCCGCGAACATGCGGACACAAGATCCATTAGTGATACAACCGAAGCTACATCACCGCGGCCGGATGACTCTGTGAGCCAAGTGGATATACTCGATAACCAAATACAACCCCGAAGCCCGGCGCAAAGCGATGTCCAAAGCACTTTCAGTACAGACAGTACGATCAGTAGTAGTACTGGCCTCAGCTTTCGGTTGGGACCCGTTCCATCATCGGCACGGTCTACTCGAGATAGCCAAGGCAACAGCAGCAATTCCGTAGACGATAAAACCATTACAGCTACAATCGAACTACTCAAGTCCGGATGCTTACCAGGAGATTATCTGCCCGTGAAAATTACTGTACAGCATACCAAAGCCATCAAAAGTATGCATGGAATTATAATTACGTTCTATAGACAAGGCCGAATAGATTCTTCGCCTCCACTGTCACTGTTCAAGGATATCAAAGGGAAAGAAGCGGAAAGGCTTAAGCATGAAGAATATTATCCTAAATCTAAGACTGGCTTGGGTGGTCTGTCACTAAGTTCCGCTGGATCGACTAGTGTCTTTCGAAAAGATTTATCGCAGACATTTGCGCCACTCATTGTTGACCCTTCAACCTTGACGTCGCATGTCACAGCATCTATCAGAGTTCCTGAGGACTGCTTCCCAACTATAAGTGGCGTGCCTGGCCAGATGGTAAACTTCAAATATCAAGTTGAAGTTGTAGTTGACCTGGGAGGGAAATTAGCCGGCCAACAACGACACGTACCACGCATTGGAACCGTTAGCCTACCTGCCGCCTATGGAAGCACAGGTAATAGATCAGAAGGGAATGCCAGCATGCTGGCTGCCTTTGGAGGTAGCATTGTTGATACGGATCACATTAGGCGAGAAAAGAGCGTGGTTGCCTGTGTTTTCGAAGTTGTTGTTGGGACTACGGATAGTGCTCGAAACAAAGCAAGGCATACCGGTAAACAACCAGCTGAATCCTCAAACTCGAGGCCAGTCACACCCTCTCCAGCTCAAAATCCCATGCATGAAGAGCCTTTCGACCACGAGTATATACACCAGGGAAATGCGCAATACCCCAATCATCCTTATCAATATTACGACTCGAATTACGACGAACCATACCCTTATGAATATAATCAAAATTTTGAACAGCGTGCCGATCAACATTCTAGATACCCGCCGCCATCACATACACAAATATACGTTCCACCACCAGAAACTGAAGGACAAACAGAACTCAGTGAAAAGGAACAACTTAGGAGAGCAGAACAGAGACTTCTTCCCAGTCAGCCTCCGGATTTCCAAGCATCATCATCATCGTCATCATCGGCCGCAGCAAGGGGTAGTACCGGACCATCTGTACCTAATCCAGCCGATGAAGATCTTTACACCGCCGATGGTCTACCACCCAGCAACCCCAGACCCCTTACATCTCATCCAGTTGACCCGTCGAATCCGCACCTAAGCGAATCTCCACCTGCTGGCCCCTCAGCCCCCAGTCTCTCGGATCTCACACCGCATGCCTCACACACCTCGCACGCCACAGACGATAAACAAGAACTCGAACGTCAAAGACTCCTAGCCGAAGCAAGCGCACCCTCAGAGTTTCCTGAGTTGGAAGAGGGGGGCGAGAGTAGCCGACAGGGCGCTGCTGCTTCGGCACCACATGACCATGAACCTTCGGCGCCGATCTTTCACGAAGAAGACGAATATGGAAGCGGGTATGCACATCAGCATTTTGAGGGAACAAGAGTGGACCATGAAAGTTTACCGCCAAGATATGAGAGGTAATTTGGGGATGTATGTATGTGAACAAGAGCTTTTGTACTTGTAAATACCCAGCGACAGCGAAAGGGAGGGGGAAATGGAACAGGGAGATACTGTTAGAAGCTATGCTATGCTATCCAGATACCGAGGGGGACTTTCCAAGATAGCTGCCAGTGGACGACTTAAATGAATATATAATATCTATAAAAAAAAATTAACTACCAAGATGCATTACATTATCTATCAAGTGTCACCTGACGATTGTAAATCGTCTTCCACTACTTTTTTCTTTATAGATCACACGAGAGAGAGAGAGAGAGAGAGTGTGTGTGTGTGTGTGTGTGTGTGTGTGTGTCATCATATAAGCACCTACTTACTACACACATCCACAATTACCCAAGTACCTACTCGTACCTAACCTTGGAATTGTCAGCGTCAGCTCTTCCCAGCCTATCGTACGTAGTAAGGCTTTCCTTTCCATATAAAAAATGTCGAATTTAACATCAATTAGTAACTGACTCTTCAATTTATGAATCAAATGGCATCCCATCCATCCATCATCTTCACGGTATCTATCACGGTATCTATCGTAGGTACCTAGGCTAGGTAGCTAGAGATGTATATCTATGCATCGCCCTTTCCACACTTATCAATGGGCGTAGAAAGTGAATGGCAAGACATCTATCTATCTATCTATCTGGTGATCAATATTTTGGAAATACTGTTAAGAGTCGAGAGGAAGATTCTAAACACCGTACATATTAATATTAGCTTTGAAAATATATTTCTCTTCATGAGGTCTGAAAATGGAATCGTGCATTCATCTTCTACTCGATCCTTTAGTATCGTTATGTTCACAGGGGCAAGAGCAAATAGAGGGGAGATATTAATGAGGTTGTTCATAATTTTTCATTTCTTGGTTTTTAATCTAGCTATTCTAACTCTATCTAACTTGCAGCTCGAAGTACGAAAAGCAGAAGCAGCGAATCTTCGTTCTCGACTACCACAACGATTGATGCGTCTTACAGCGAGTGAACGTGCAAAATGATTTCGTAGCGTGAAAGTTATTTTGCGACTCCTAACACCCCATCCCCCCCAAAAATCCAACAAACAATGCAAAAACAGATAAATCAACACAGGCCCCCAGTTACTTTTTCCCCTGCACCAAAGTTCGAGTTTACGAGCACTTCGTATACTCAATTTATGCCTTGAGCTTCATTGGTGGTGTACCGAGTCCATTGCGGTTACGGAAGAAGAATACCCCCTTGCCTTCACCTTCAGCACCCTCAGATGGCTCAACCCATTGGCACCAACGAGCGCTGGACCACAAGCTCTTCAAGAATCCAAGGGATCCTCCTCGAACATCAGCTCTGTAGTGACGACCCATGATAGGCTTGATAGCCTCGGTAGCTTCATCGGCGTGGTAGAAAGGAATGGTGCTAACGTAGTGGTGAAGAACGTGAGTCTCGATGATACCGTGAAGAAGAGTGCGACCGATGAATCCGAATTCACGATCGATTGTTGCTGCGGCTCCACGAACATAGTTCCAGCTCTCGCCAGAGTAGTGGGGAAGAGTTGGGTCAGTGTGTTGGAGGAAGGTGATAGCAACAAGCCAATGGTTTACCCAGAGGTATGGAATGAAATACCAGATAGCCATGTTGTAAAATCCGTATGTCTTGCTAAGCATGGTAAGGACAGCGACGGTGATGGCGATACCGAGATCACTCAACAAGATCAATTTGGCATCCTTAGCTTCATAAAGAGGACTGGCTGGGTTAAAGTGACTGACGGTCCAGAAGCTGTTGACTTTGCCTTTTCCACGACCTTCGTGTTGACGCTCATGGTTGTTGTGACCGGTGACGTTCATGAATAAGTACAAAGGCCAGCCAGCAAGTTGTTGTCCGATTGAGTGAATGAGGGTTGCGATTGGAGTTTCCTCGGTGAGCTCGTGAAGCTCATGGACGAACTTTCCGACGCGGGTAGCATAATCTTGACGAGTTTTTGGAACGAAAACCATATCACGCTCCATGTTACCGGTAGCTTTGTGGTGCTTGCCGTGAGAGATCTTCCATGAGAAGTATGGGACGAGAAGAGCAGAGTGGCAGATCCACCCAGTTGTATCGTTCAAGACCTTTGAAGTTGAGAAAGATTGATGACCACACTCATGAGCAAGAACCCAGAGACCAGTACCAAACAAACCCTGGACAATGGTGTACAAGGCCCACAACACAGCGCGGGCTGGAGTTGAGGGAACGTTTTCTGGTGTGAGATATTTGTTGAAGAGGAAGAATGTGGTGGCCAAACTGGCAATATCGCGTGCCACATAAGCCAAGCCTCTTACTCCAGATCGCTCGTAGCAATGCTTTGGGATTGCGTTACGGATGTCATTGACGGTGTAATCTGGAAGCTCAAATTCGTTGCCGTAAGTATCGATAAGTTTGCCATATGGCTTGGTCTTCTTAGCATCGTCGCCTAGAGATGACATGGATGACAGAGAAGTAGACGAGGGGGATTGTCTTGGGGTATCATTGGGTGACCCGGCAGCTGTCGAGGGAGCTGATTCGGCAGTGGAAGAGGTCGCCGTTCTTTGAACGACGGTACGCTTTGGTAGAGCAGTGGTAGAGGCCATTGTGTTGTAATTCTTGTAGACTCGAAAATTTAGAGAAAAAGAATGAAAAATCGTAGGAAATGATCACTTTGATATTCGAGCCAGTAGTGAGTGACAAGATTGTAGCAGCGTGAAGTGAATGGACCAAATTTGTTGAGGTTTTAGTGGGATGAATTAAAGAAGGCCCAACGAGATCTATAGGAGTACTTGTTAGTTTCCGAAAGCTTTTTAATTGGGTAACATAATAAAGGAATATATATACTTACAAACTTTTGTACACACTCAACTCCTCAAGATGTGTATTAAGTTTTGGTCAAGAGGTGGGAGTTGAAGAGAGGTAGAAGTGAAGGAAGGAATTTGGACTTATAATAATAAGAGGGAGAGGGGGTGGTTGAAAAGGAATGGAGGGATGAATTGAGTGGAGTGAGTGGTGGAGTGGATTACCCAGATACCTACCTAGTCTCGAGCTAGTCAGGAATTGAAGGGATGTTCACCAGTCGCTTGGCCCTAAAAAGTTTAAAGAAGAGAAGAGAAGAGAAGAAAGAAAAAAAAAAGAGGATGAAATATTTCCCCGTAGCGCCTTCTCATCAACTCAGATTAACTCTTACGATATTAACTGCAAAGATTTCAGATCATACAAGGTACGGGAAAGAGCCAAGAAGGGACCAGCATGTAACTTGGGATGGTTAAGTATAAGTCACTAGAAAATAAGTAGGAGGAGGAGGAGGAGGAGGAAGAGGAGTCTAATAAAGTATAATATATCCTTCATACTAGATTAGATGTAAGTGTCTCGAGTATATATAAAATATAACATGACATATTAAAATATACTTAGACTAGGTACTACTGACAGGTCGACTCCGAGACGACTACATACAATCAATCAATACAGTAGAATCAGAGTACCAGGTAGATACTCTCATGAAATGATTTCAAACGACTTTCCTAGATTCTTCAACCAACTTCTTCCAGCTTCGTTGTCTAGGAAGATTGTGTTTACAGAATCTCCATAATATTATACCTACCGGTACTGTTTATGTGTTTATGTATGGAACACTGGACTATTCTGTATATCATACTTTCTTCTGCTAGAAATCCTCTTTTCTTTTGATATAAATTATAATTAATACTCATGTACCCAAGTATGGAGCAATGCAAGCAAAGACCACTCAAATGAACTCTCGAGAGTCCAATTATCTTGATTCGATTGCCACCACCCACCCACCACAAGAAGTCGTTAAGACATGGGAAAGGGGGTCTGAAGATCTTATCATGACATTTTAGAGTAGCTAGTAGCTATCATATGGTGGGGTTTCTTACAATCCATCTCAATTTGCAAACCCATTCTTTTGTTGTTGAATTTCAGTGGAGAATGATAGATGCCGAGTTATGTACACGATGGTTCAGGTATATCAAAGCAAATCCCGAAGACAGCGAGTTGACGAGATGATAATAACAGATTCCTCAAGAAGATCTCTCGTGGAGTAATTATCTGGTGATATCTCGTACCACCATCATCTACAATGATACCCAACCTTTTTTCCTCCTTCCAAGTTCCCGCCCCTCATCGTGTCCCTCCTTCTTCGATGATGGACATTCCGATTGACTTGAAGCTCACGCCACCCATCTCTCGGTTCCGTCGTGGAGAACCCTTGACAGGTAGACCGTTTCAAAGTGCTCTAGGGTATGTAGGTTGCTAGAAGAGACAGACAGAATACATTCTGTGGGGACACGAACACGATGAGTTGGTTGTCTTTCTTACTTACTCACCGCTAGAGTACATCCGGAGAATACTGTTCACAATCAATGGATGGCAAAGTGGCACAGTGGCTCAACCAGCCCAGCGCAGAAGGCTTGCTGGTGTCGGGTACCAGTAGACACAGCATTCATTCAGCTTGTGTACGAAAAGCCCAGATAAATCAATGTGCCGCCCATATATATACCTAGATACAAAAGAAGAGTTCTGCCTCATAGGTCCAGTTTTCATATATCGATTTCAGCCGGTTTCTAATATGCATGAAAAGTACCATCTTCACACAAACACACACACACACACACACACTTTCTGAGAATGAACTCCAGATCAAAGCGAGGTGGTCAGCAAGCGTCAACTTCCCTCGATGGCTACTAACAATTTGCAAAGAAAGAATATTGCCTACAAATGGAAAGCGATGTTGATGTTACCATTGACCAATCACATCCTCATCATATCGAGTTCCCCTTGTATTCTCATGCATGGCATACCTAGCATTCTCACGCTTGCAGAAAAGGGTTCGAGACTAAACCCAATCCGTCTATTTACCCGAAAAGATTTCCCCAACAATTTTGAGGACCCATGGATTCTAGTTTTTTTTGTTGGGGCTTGAAAACGAATGATCGCTACAAGGGTTGAGAGGGTCGAGAGGGTCGAAGAGTTCAAATTCTTTGCTAAGAGGATACCAATTGCCATGCCGTGCCATACTATGAATCTATGATACTACGATACCAACGATACATACCATATCCCGAAAGTCTTCCTTCCTTCCTGATTGATTACCTAGTCCTCCGGTCTTGGATGTATCCAATTGTGCCATCACTTTACCAATTTACCCAAACCTCGGTATCTTCATTC